CTTTATTATATTACTTAAACATTTTTTTTACTCAAAAGTTTAAATTAATTTTTTATATTAAATATTTAAATAATAATTTAAAATAAATTGAGGTAAATATTATTTATAATTACGTCTAATCAGTAATTTATCGATTCTTGGTTTAATTCATTAATAATTAATGTAAGTAGTGATGTCCAAATTTGGTCAGACATTTTGAATCTGATCTTTCTCATCAAAGATTTCAATTTTAAAGCCAAAGTTCATTTCTACTTAGGACTTTTATTATTAATCACTTACTATCAAATTACCTCGCTCTCCTTATGAGCTGAATTAGTGAAGATTACTGCAAATCAGTGATTATTCACTGATTTATTTAAGAGAGTACTGACATTTATTTATCTCTTATGCACCTGTTATTTTTGCATTAACTGCAATCTAAAATAAGTAAAAAAAAAAAGTATTTCCTTGAGGGTAAAAATAAAAGCGAGACCTTTGAAAAAAAAATGTTTTTATCTTCATTTTTTATTTATATAACTCTAATAAACATGAACAATAATAAATAGTGTATACAAGAACGTAGGAAGTCTGCGTATAACCAGGCTGCAACGTTCGAAATAGTGCGTTCTATATGCCACATTCGTCGATGGAAAGCTATTGAAAAAGGTATTTTTATTTAATTATCATTATTATTGAATAATTTATCATTTAATTTTTGATTATTTTCATTTGTATCCATTTTACCGATTATTGCATATAAATACTTCAAGTATATCAGTACGTTAATACATTATTTTATAAAAAATGGCGCATTTATAAACAAAAGGTCCAATCGACGAATTGTTGTGAAGCAAAGCTGATTATACGAGGATAAGAAAAACTACGAATGAAATGTTATGAATTATTAATCATTACATTATTGTTCAGAGCTCATTACAACTACTGAACAACCAAAATATCACATCGGCTAATCATAATCGCACCGATTAAGAGTCAAGAATGAGCGAAATAAAGATATTATTTTAATTTGATATCGATGAAATTTTACATTATATTTAATCTGATATTATAATCCCTATTATATTTTCATCCTTTGTTCTTATCATCATACTATATATCGACCAGAAAGCCTATTTTTCAAGCTACTCGCCGTCATAAATTCTCCGTCAATAAATATAGATAATAATAATTACAACATTGCACATGAACTAATTGGATTCACGCTTACGTCATAAAGCATTTTATCCAACTTATATACACGCTTTTTCACATTTTTTTTTTGTTTTTTTTTTTGTATCTATATTCATTTTATTCATTCTCAATATTTATTTATCCATTACTTTTCCATTTTTTTTTTGCACAAATCCTGCACTTTGGTGCTAATATCAAGAGAAATATAATATCTACTTTTTTTTTTTTTTTAAACTCCAAGAACAATTGCTCCATTGTTTTAGAATTGGCCATTGAAATCACTAGATATTTTAAAGGTAAAATAATTTATTTCTTGGCTGCATAAAAGTTAATTACGATTATCAAGAAAAAACATTCATTTTTATCTATCATTTATTAATTAATGAACCAATATTAAATATTTTAACGTTAATTATGACTATGATCACTGAAAAGTTCTAGAAAAAAATGTAATATTTATTAAGATAATTGATAATTTTTTCTTAACAATCGTAAGTATTTATTAATACAAGATATCGTCTTTTCTATACACTAATGAATGAATTGATTTCAATGGAAAATATGTTATTAATTGTTTAATAGTATACGTCAATGCATGTTGATGACATAAAATACCTTTTATAAAAATGGCAGATAAATGTATCTTAAAAATTAGAATGAGTGAAAGACTAAAATAACCGAGTTGTTTAACATGACTTTCTAAACAATCCATATTGAATAATTGATGATGAATTAATTATTCCATCGACATAATAGACAATTGGTTAATGATGATAGCGACTCGATAAAGAGAATAGATGTTTAATAATCGTATCGGTGCTTTATTGAGTTAAAGCAAAACAGGGTTGCACCCTTTCAAAGTCGCTATCGAGCAAAACCAATCTACTTCCCTCTTTATAAAAGTGTTCTTTCTCTTTCATCTTTGCAACTAAATTCAGTACAATACTGTTTCCACATCCCCTTGAGCTGCCGTGACAACAACAATGATTACTATTGAGAAAATTCATCGTTCATTTTATCCACATGGACCTAAACAACTCGTACTTTTTCTCATTCTATTTCTCGTTAAACATTTTATGTAAATTTATGCAAGCTTGATGTTTAAATCGTGAAATATATCACTGGATAGCCTATAGAATCAGCTCATGAATACCAAGGATGGTAATTGAATTTGTATTCTACATAAATTATTCGACTGCTAAGTTTTCCTTTTGATGCTTATACACAAAAACCTCACGACATGAATTCAATGATACCAAGATGCAAGAAGTTGTGCTAAAGACTGGCAAATAGGTATCAAGAGACTTCATTCTAACTTCCTGAATGTATTAATTGATACATCATTCAATTGAAGCATAGTAAGAGAATTAGTCATAGTTTTGAGAATAATGCCATAAAAATTAACTCAGTCCATGCTATCACTTATCATCATTATGTATTTAATAATGGAATAAATTAGCAAAAGAATTTGGTTATTATGAATGAAAATATTGTTGATGGCAAGTATTCACTAGATATATAATAAATGATAAGAATTAATACAATTGTCCATTATCTTGCTGCTCTTTATATGTAGAAATTATTTCCATTTGTCTATGCTGTTACAAAATGAACTTATCATGATTAATTAAAATATTTGTTACTCTATCAAAGAGAATATTTATCCAGTCAATTGATGTAATTCATATTAAAATGTAAATTAAATGTAGACGATAATGATTGCACAAATATAAATTAACATTCGAGCTGATCTATAGGCATAGAGAATAGTAAAAAAAATACCAATCAAAAAGTAGTGAATGTATGGTATAATAAGTTCATAATGCAATGATGAATACACGTATAGTGCTAAGCGATATTGTTAATGTTTAACGTTGCTAGCGATAATATTAGAGACAAATTTGAATTATGATGTAATACTTTTAAAATTCGATTATGCAAAATTTTCCCTTTTAGAATTCCTTGGAACAGTCATTTTTTTCATTTTATTTCATTTATCATTTTTTTTTGTTTCATTTTTTTATAATAATTAAACTCTTTTCGTGTCATAACTTCTTTCCAACCAAGTTTCAATTCAATGTATATTTTTTTTTTTAATAAAAATAAAGGCTTGAAAGATGAAAAAATTTAACAAAGAAGTTATTTTTAAAAAGGAAAAAAAATAGTTTTTTTATATAAAAATATTTTATTGAAAATTTAATAATTTTTCTTTATTATTATTATTATTATATATTTGTGTTTAATTATTAGAAATATTAGATTGAATATTTTTATTATTTGAACTATTGAATAAATTGTTATATTTTATCCATTAAATTATTCTTTAAATTTTCAATAAATTATTTTTTTTCCTTTTAAAAATACATCATTCTTTTTTTTTTCCTTTTTTTTTGAATCATTAAAATGACATAATAAATTTTTATTAAATGATTAATGCTATTGATATTAATAATTTTTCGAAGAAAATTGATATTTAGAATGCTTTGGTATATAATATTCTCTTCATTATCTAATTTTCTTTATTAATCATCAGCTAAGACTTTAATACAATGTCCACGTGAATCCCAATAAAGGGTATGGAATTATTTTTTGGCAGTAGTTAATTTTTTTATTATCTTTAAATACTTTTTATTTTTAGTCAATTTAATTTCTCAAATCTCTATTTCTTCTCTAAATAGATATTCTTCTTCTAATTAAATTGAATGCCTAAATCTCGATTTTTCTCTAACTGTCTTTCACTTTCTAAAACATATATTTCATACTGTATTGATCTCATTAAATACTCGTCTTTGGTCTACAGGGCAATGTACTGACTTATTATATGCTCTTCAATGCCAATTATCACTGAGTAAAATGCACGCAACACTGTTTGTCGTTATTGTAAGTCGTAATCACTTGAATATATAATATACAATAGTTAACACTCGTTTGTGTTATTCTAAAATTTCTACGACTATATGTCCATTAATTTTACAATGCTCATGTGATCTATTATGTTTAGATTCATTTCTTCTATTTTTAGGAAATAGTAAAGTATGTATACCTTTTGAATTTTTATAGCTGCAACAGTTTACTGAGTTTATATACCGAGAAAAAAATTTATTTGATGCTTACATAAAAGTTTATGAGTCTTGAACTGAAAAATATTATGTCAAGAACTTTATCTTTTATCCACTTTCTTCTTACATTTTCTCTTATTGAAATGAAAAAGAAAGTTTATTTGAATATTATTTGTAATAATTTATATTATGCGATTATTTGAATAAAAAGAATGATTAATCAAATATTTATTTGCACTTTTATCAATCAGAAAATGTAATAATTTGATATAAAAAATATGTTAAATTTTTACTTGATTGAGAAAAAAAAAGATTGGTCCAATCTGAGACAGTGCATCTCTCAAAAGTTGCAAATAAATTTCTTTTCTCAGTATTTCTCTGAAGAAAAATTCTATTTTATTATTCCTTGTACACTTCGACTATTTTTATTGTTGATAAGAAAACTTCAAAAATTGTTATCATTATCAATAATGATTATTTCAAAAAATCCCGAAAATGGATTTATTTATTTCTTAGACTGTACTCTAAATTTACTTTAATTAATAATTAATAAATTGCATTTTTCAAATGTTTCATGTTTCAATTACTTCAATAAACTGTTTAAAAATTACAATAAATAACTCGAACATCGATTTCGATGAGGATCAATGCTTGATTTCAGTCTTTGAGGATGAAATATTGAAAAGTAGGCTGTCATCAATAAAATTATCAAAAAGATTGGCGAATAAAAAAATTCATTATCAGACTAAGAAATTACAATTAATCTATTAATTAGGAGAACAATATTGAGCATTATTTTATTGGTGTAATAAATCCTCAAAAATTCTGATGTGCATGGGAATGTCATTCTTTTCATCAATCATTATTAATTATCGCTAATAGTCTTCTATTCTGTGTATGTCATTGTTATTAATTCGATGAATACAATAACGTCCCACGTGCATTAAAAAGCATCATTTTAATGCACTAAGTCAAAGAGAAGGGGCAGAGAAAGCGAGAGATAAGAATGAAAAATAATTCGATGGAAATTTTTAGAACAACTTACCTCCATCAATATCATTAAAACCTGTCAAATATATTTGATAAAATGATCACAATGAGATCTAAAAAAATGTTTATTTTCTTTTTGATAGTAATACGCGGAAATGTTATATTTAATAGTTTTCAATAAATCACTAGAAATAACTCGTTGTATATATGACCACAAAGACTTGACTCACAAGTTTAAATAAATAATCACAGTTTAATCAAATTGATTTTCATGGATTACAGCTCTTCTGAAAGAGCAATTGGTGCCCGAGAGCCAGCCTTCATATCCTTGACGCCAATACCAATGTCATCAACTGGAGTTGGTGCGAGCTTTAACTGATTCCCATTAATCTTGATGTCGTTTACCGAATGTGAGCGTCCGTGCGTTACCAGTGGCTTTGGATTGGCATTTGAGTTTCCACCGGAAGTGCAATTATTTCCAGTATTAACGTTTGTACCATGTGAATTTGCGCTTACGCTTGAGTTCCCATGAGAATTGTGATTAGAACTTGTCATTATTGAATTGGTATTCTTCGTTTTTGACTTAGCCTTTAATGTATTCGTCTTTTCACTATCATTCGTATTTGTCGTCATTTTCATATCATTTGTACCAATCATATCAGTCTTGGTACGGGTTTCATTACTTTGATTAGTTATCAAAGTCGCTTTGGCATTTGTTGATGTAATGTTGCCCGAATTTGCTATGCTGGTCAATTGATTAGCGGATTGAGATCGTACTGTTTGATTATTGCCAAGTTTATCTTTCAAAGCCATTTGGTAAGCAACTTCGAACGCTTGGCCTAAAGTCAAGATAACTTCAGTAGCTTGATCCTGCAAAAAAAAAATATATTCCTTCGTACCAAACTGTTTAACTAGCTGTTCTGATCGTATTTTATGCTAAATTAACTTGCTTATAACTATGCTGATTAGTTGAATGATAACACTAGCTTGCACAGTTTATTTTTATACTTGATGACCGGAATAACGTGAATGTTCATTACGAGTAGCATTGATAAGTGCTTGTGATAAAGCTAGAACTATGAATTATTGATCATTGATCAGCAAAAATTGTTTCGTTTATTTATAATTAAAAAATATCCTCGACTTTATATTTCATTTAAATTTTGTGATATGTTGTTCAAAAACAATAGAATATTTTTTATCTTGTAAGCTAATTATTCCATGCACTTTTGAACAATAAATAAATGGAATTAAAAATATTGAAGTATAAATTATTCATTTTTATTGTGAAATTATTGTCTGCATTTATTTGATAAAATTTATCAGAATTCATCCTTTCAAATTCATTGGAATATGTTAAATAACATTTTCAAAAATTCATTTCTTTGATAACGAAATAAAGAAAAGAGGAATATTTTTTATCAAAAACCTGAAATGCACTTGGTGTATAAAGTAGGATAAAGATTAATTTTAAAAATAGAATTTTGTAATGTTGAGCTATGAAAAAGACTTGAATAAAATTTTATATTAACAAGAATATATTAAAAGTGATCTTTTTATTACCATCGTTGGGACACAGAAGACATGGCAAAAATGTGTTCGACTCGCATGATCCTTTGTTATGTATGCAAAGTGGGTGAGATCATCCGCATCCTGACACGCGCAGTGGATATTACGAATCTCATGATCACATATGGGTTCCTATTTAGATAAAACATTGTCGAAAAAAGGTTAAACTTATTACATAAAAATATATCCAAATGAATGATACAATTTTTACATAAGACATAAACCATAATGAAGTTTTAAAATCATTAGAAAATATTTAATTGTTTTTTTATTGACAAAAATGGTTTATGCATTATATAAAAATCATATTGAACTGAGACTTGGACATCTTCAACAATAACTTTGGATCTTACATTCGTAACAGTATCCAAAAACCGAACTCCACGATAGGAAATGGCTAAAGTGATCCCTAAACTAACTCTAGGATCTCTGCAAGTGTTCTTCAGTTTCTGAATTGATTTCTTGGTCGATTCGGTGCCTCGAAGTTCTTTGACCACCGTGGAACCCAAGTACTACATCAACAAAAATTCAATCCACATTAAATGTCTAATTGGGTGCCAATTATTTAGAAGTGATTCCTAATCAACTTTTTTGAAAAAAACAAAAGTATTCTAAAGTAAACTGATCAGTTATTCATTGATCAAAAATTGTTTGAATGTTAGAAAAGAAAGAAGAGTAAAATAGAATGGAAATTAACTTACATTGGCAACGTATTTGATGTTACCAGTGACTAGAACCTTGGGTTGATGTCTCCACTGAGTCTTAAGAGTCGAGGGAACACCAAAAAGAAGTTCAGAAGGTGCACGAATTTCAAGCTGCTCTGCTGTCACATTACCATTCTGACAGTTTGAACGATTAGGAGGTTGAGGTGCTGGACGATTTTTTCGATGTCTCAGTGTTCCTGAAGTAGCTGCATTCGTTCCAGTAACAATAGTCGAGTGATTTCCATTGTCTTGTGAAGGTTCAGGAAGTTTTTCTCGAATTTCCTCTTTCAGCTGTTGGATATTAGTTTTCTGAAAAAAACACCATCAAATAGTTGTTTAATAAACGACATTAAACCTGTTTGAATCTTTCTTTATATACCTGAAGATATAGTATCTGTTTAAGAAATCAGAGCCTTTGATTTTTGTAACAAGCGGAAAGGGAATCACTTCTCATCAGCCAAAAAACTACAAGGGGACTCCGGACGTTGCTCTGAAACCGGACACGACCAAACTAAATGAGGGGGAAAGGATTGCGGCATTCTTCTATAGAAGATCACTAAACGATCGTATCGTTGATTTCTCCAAACCGCAAACTGGATTCGATTCATGCAAAAATAATGGTCCCGAATTTAATGAAATCGGTAATTGCATATTCATTAAGTTACTCTTGGAAATATTTAACTTTTTTTCAATTATTTTTCCTCACTTAGTGAATTTTAAAATTAAATTTTACTATTATCATTGACAATTTTCTACTTTTCCTTTTTAATAACTTGATGTTTATTTTGGAGATGAATGAATATTTATTTCATGTTTCAGAGGCAAAATAAATATTTATTAGGATAATATTCAATGTAAATGTTCGTATTTTAATAATAATAACAAAAAGAAATGATACTTTTTTGTTTATTATAATAAAGTGGTTGTAGTACTTAATTAAAAATACAAATCAAAAACTGTGTAAAAAAGATTCAACATTTTTTAATGAAATAGTTGAGTTTGTAGAGTAAATCGAAAGCAAAGTGTGAAAATATTGACAAAGAACAAATAAATTAATGATTTTTCAAGTAGAGTATTAAACACCTATAAAAATCTCATTGATGCTCGGGTGACGCGTAAAGCAAATAATAGTCATATATACTATATAGTATCCTATTGAAGGTCTGATAGCTGCGCAAAAAGAGATACAGCATAGGGAGCAGGCAGTAACAAGCAAGGGCCAATATAATCATGCGTTGTTCGATCGACGAGAGGCAATTTATCGGATTCCCGGATGTGCTAAAATGAGAGGACTCGTGAGGATGATGTTTACTGAATCTAGTGAGCTAATTAATGGGAGATAGAGTGAAAACAAAAAGCACTGGTATAGATACAGTGAACAATATAAAGGAAGTAGAAGAAAATTGTGATAAAAATCAATTCTGAAGAGTTGATATGGTTGAGTGACGTGACTGAAAGCCGTTTCTGCAGAACTCTGGTGAAAGAGTAGAGCTTATACAATGTACGTATCTCCAATTAGCCACTTTATTTACATTATAACGCGGTGCTAGTTGATCGAATCGAATGGTTGGTTACGATCCGAGCGAAAGTGTCACAAGGGGTGGAATAAAAGAGCGAGACTCCCCGTAGCTTTCTGCTACACTCGAGTCTCAAACTGCTCTCATTGTGTCATAAGAGCACCCTGTCGTCAATCTCTCTTCCTATTTTTCTCTCTTTCTTCCATACTGTCCCATCAAATGTCTCCCCAAGTTTCCCTTTTCATCACCAGGATCTACACATTCTACCATGCAATAAAGTACTAATTTGATTGGAAATTATTGTCGAGGGTGGAAATACCTGGTTCTACTAATTATCTGTATTACTTAGACTTTACAGATGTTACGAAGACTTGAGAAATTATTGTGATCTTGGTACAATAGAATATTCACTGTTCACGTGATAAAATAATCATTATCTTCAACATTTTTGATCCAATTAATTATTTTGAACTATTGTTACTCTACTAATAATAATCTGATATTGAAAATAAATTGTTATTTTAGAATATTCCAACCAAGTCTAGATGTGAAAACATTACAGTTGAAAATGTAAATGTAAGGTCATAAATTGTTGTGGGGAATTAAAATAAGTAAATGAGTTATGTTTTCTCGAGACTTACCAAAGTGTTAAGATCCTTATTAAGATCCTCTAAATTAGGTCCACTTCCATTTCTAGATTGAGAGCGTGGGCTTGGTCCTGTTACAGATGCTAGGATTCGTTTTCTGTGGGCAGGTTTTTGAATTTCAAGCACTGCTGCTAACTCCACTTCCCAAACTCTTTTAACACGATCCATATCAGTATAAAGATGTTTCTTGAAAGTTTCTATGTATTTTTCCAAGTGTATTCCTTTAAGCCACTCATCAACTGTCTTTGCTTGTGAACCTGATCGTTTGTCCACACATTTATTCAACGACAAGGATGCGTTCATTATCACAGCACGATCCTGGTCACTTGTTATTCCCATGTCTTTCAAGTCAGAGTCTTCCAATATTCCATTCTGAAACATTCCAAATAAACTGGATTAAGTGATATTATAAAACAGCAATTAAGATGAAAAAGAACATTTGATAGAGTTAAATAGAAAAAGTATCATTTTGAAAATGACTTACGATAAAATCTAGGTCATCAAAACCATAGTTGATGAAAAGAGACTCGTAGTCAGCCAAGCCTAAATCCAATAGCCATTGACCAATCGGTGAAACAACAGTAGGGCTGCTGGTAGTGTCTGAACCAATCCCTAAACATAAATCATCAGCAATACAAGAGTAATAAACAATTTCATGGGACATAGAACGTTTAGAAGTATTGTTAGTAAAGTTCAATCCAATACCCAATCTTGTTTGAAACTCCTTCTCCAATTCATTAACAAAGACTGACTCTCTGACAAGCCCTGTGCCAAAAGAAGCCATTATTTCTGAAATTTTAGCCCACTCTTCTTGCTCGTCGAAGGGGCTCATGATGCTGAGAGATTTTTCATCCCTATCACGATCTCGAAGTGACCCATCAACACCACCATCATCTAAACGTTCTCCAGTAACGTCCACACCAGTTCCCATCCCGCATACGGTCGATCCGTAGACGTTCCGCAAACGTCGAAGAGTTCGAGGACGTTCAGCCGTGACAGAACCTTTTAGTAAACCTGCCAAAAACGTTCAATATCATTTTTTAAAAATAATAATGATTTTTATAAAACAAATCAGGTTATTCATCTAGAGCTAAAGCTCCAGTTGTATGATTAGTTTCAAGGTTTCTCTTATTATTTCTTGCTTGGAATTGATTACTTGGTTTGCAAAGTTGAACATCATTACAGGAAACATCATAATATCTCCAGAATTGCTTTCCTACCTATTGAATGAATCCTTTGTTTTATATTTTTCTTATTCTGTATCAGAACAATTAGGCATCAGTCACTTTCCTTGACCGAATATATTATAGAATGTCTATTTTTTCCTGACCATTATCTTGTTCCTAACATGAACACTAGCTTTGACAATGAATTATAATATAATTTTTCTTTTACAAATCTATCGATTCAAAAGCAAGCGAAAATAGTTTCCAACATCTCTTCACACATGACAATAAATATGAAGAACTTCCAACATCACAAAGCAACATGAAAAGAGGAAACCATCTCCAACAAATCTTCACCTCACTGTGGCAGGAAAATAAGTCAATTAAATACCTGCAGTTGGTTATAATGAATCAGTTTAAGATATTACTAGTCTAAATTCTCTTATTCATACAAAAGTTTCCAAGAGGTTTAGGAAGAGACACAAAATCTTATAAAAGATATGAAATTCAGAAAATGTACGATGCTTTATATTAATCATAAAGAAGTTTTAGTGAAGTTACGGGGAAGTTAATCCTTGTAATTTTGCAACGAGATTACATTTATAATTTTATACAATCTTAAGCATTTCAATATTCTCATTGAAACGCTTATTTTCTTGAACAATCTTTGGATTTAATTTCAACATAATTTACATCTTTAAAGATTCATTTACGTTAGATGAATTTATGATGAGAAAAAAATTAATTTCTACATCTAAAAGATGTATTTCATAATAAACATCAATATATATATTAAATAATAAAGTAGACATTAATGTATCTTTAATGAATACAATTGTTGTGATTGATGAAGCTCATTAAAGAGTGAAGACCAATAACAATTACTGTCAGCAAAGTGTAATTGTTTGAATCAATTAAAAGAAAATTCCAACTTAATGACGACATTGAAATGTGTTTTAGTATAGGAAAAATAATGATTGATAATTATTTTGCGAAATAATGGAATATGAATGTTACATTTTCTACTTCTGTCATTATGTGATGAGAGGTTAATATGAAATATGAATACTATAAAACTTATTTGAATTGCGTACAATTATCAAAATGATGATAACTCTTTCATACTTGTAGTTTCAGTAAATGAGACAGCTCGTTCGTTGACTAGCACATTACATTATGAATAAGAGATGTAAAAAATTATAAAAAAATATTGTTGATGAATAAAAACAATGGAATAAGAGTAAAGTGGGTAGTAGTGGCAATGTCTTTTCAAAGATGCTTTTCGTTCATGTTGCACACGTGTATGCGTGTAATGAAAAGCTCATAAAAATACTAAATAGAGAGAGAGAGAGAGAGAAGGAAACGTGGGTTACAAGTGCAAACGTACGTAATTTTAATTAAAGCCCCATGATTAAGGGCGTCTCAACTACGATGTCGACGCCTCCACCTCTTAGTCCTCTTTTACTCATCCCTCTCTCCTCTCGTCGCGACATCGTGTTATATTACGCAGGCAGTTATTCAAGTCATATATGTAAATTATATAAAATCCTCATCGCTCTCATCCTTTTATTCATTTTTTTTATGCTCCACAATGAGACTGTTACTGGATTTTCATAGATAATAGTTCAACTTTTCTCCAGTAACAACCAAAATGAACTTATGGTAATAATATAAAGACTCGAAATATTTTATTTTAAATCTCTTTTAAAATATGTTATCATTTTTTTTTTAATACAATTAATTATTTTTAATGTTTAACTATAATGGCTTTTTTAATACTAAATTAATTTTGATTCTTGAACATTAAAAAATTGATTTCTTTTAGAAATTGTGTTTTTTTATTTGAAATAAAAATATTCAGATTATCCATCATGCATAATTGTGTACCTAGGGGCTAGAAAATTTTTGATAAAATTTATTCTAAATTGTGAATAAACTAAAAGGAATTGTAATAAAAATTATTCAGCTTATAAACAAGTAAATATTAAGCTTTACTTCTGAACTTGTGATAATTTTCACTGCAATTTGGAGTAGTTTTTAGTTTACTTACAATTTGAAGTAACTTTTGCTCCAAAATATTGCCAGCATTTAACTAGTTAACATAAACATTACATTAAAATCTACTATATCTTGTGTTCTAATAATGTTAGTTTAGAGTTTTAGAACAACAACCAATTGAAAGTATTTGGAAGATCCCAACTGTCACATTAAAATTAATGAAACAAAAAATATTTCTTTGAAGATCTAGTTATTCTATTTACTGTTTTAAACCTGGTAATCTAACTTTTCACATATTTTTTAAATAATAAAGTATTGTTATAAATTATTGTGGTATTTAATTATAATGGCATCAACTTGAAATGAATTTTCTCAATCAAACACAAACAGTTTTAAAAAATCCTCTTTCATGGTTGGTAATGCCATTGCCTATGGCTGTAATCCAACATGAACATGAATTTTAACAAAAGATTTGCTGAATAAACAAAATCCTACCTCACACAATCTGAATTAAAACAAACTGACGACAATAATTCCATGCATGTTGACGGATATAACGTTGGCAATAAAAATACTTATTGTTGTCGTCAAAAGAATAACAAATGAATGTGGTCAATCAAATGAATAAGTATAAATAATTCATCATGAAGGAAATAACAATTTGGCATTGCAAATATAAAATTATACTTGACAATTTTCAATTGTTGCTGGGGGGGTCAATAACCGAGTAACTGTCAGGCAATTATTATGAACGAGCAATGGAGCATAGCCAAGAGACGTCCTCGAGTTAGATTTCCTCTTACTGATAAATTGAGTTTAAAAAAAGACATCGTTATTATGAGGATAGTGATTGAAGGCCGTGGAAATAAAAGACAAGGTTGGTGAGTAGCAATGAAACTTGGATAAGGCAACAACTTGACAATAGAAATGTTTGAATAATATTCTAGTAACTGTTATATATCGCAGTAACTAGCACATTGGCTCATTGTTCATGGACGCAAATCGGAGGCATGATGTGCAATCAACTTGAATCGAACTCGGGCAACGTGACCTAATAGACCGTAGGTGCGGTGCACTCAGCCATAAATTACCGCGGCACTTGTTAGGCAATCATTTGACGCTGACCGAGAGCACCAGCAGCTGTGGACAACCTGTTTTCACGGGCGTCAAATTACTTCAATGATATCCTATCACCGCATTCAAAAAGTACTTGTCAATTCAACAAATATTTACGCACGAAAGTGAATTCAAAGTTCATATATTTTTTGCCGAAATCATTTAGTTTTTTTTTTTTTTAATTTTTGCATTTTATCTCTTGTTATTTTATTTATTATTTACACTAAAAGACATTTTTATTAAATTTCATTATAAGTAAAGTCAAAAATATTTGATTTAATATCTTTAAGGAATTTTTTTGTACTGACAAATAAAGAATACTTTTTGTCAATCTGTTTTTACTTATTTAAATATTTTACTGATACTAGATTTTTTAATATTGTAGAAAATTACTTCTACATCTAATGAATAAATAACTTAAATTGCTCCAAATCCTCGGATACTAATGCATAAATTCATGCCATGACTAATGATAATCAATCCTTTTTTCTTCACTTAAAGAAACTTGAGATAAAAATTTACATGAGACAAATAATTACGGCTTATAAGTGTTAAATTTGTATCAATAAATATCTCGTTAATATATTAATGTTAAACTAAATTTTTTTAAAATTAATTTTCAGATAGTGAAATAATGATATATTGGCGATAAATTGTAAGACATAAAAATGTGCATAACTTCTATGCTAATAGTGGTATAGGGTTGATGGAGGGCTCATTTGATAGATCTCGACAAGAGAAATAGAGTCAACATTGTTAAAATCATAATTGGCGCATAATTGATGCTAAAATTAGAGTAAGTTCCGGTTTTACCCCATTTTAGGAGTGAAATAATTGATTTTTCGTATGTTTGATCTGATTCCGCATTTCTACGCATCAAGAGGAAGAGAATGAGTGGTCAAACTTGAAAATCGGAGTACTTTTATTTTTCGACCCCAAAAAATGGCAAGTGGTACCCCTTTCCATTTTTTTCAGCCAAAAAATAAAAGTACTCCGATTTTCAAGTTTGACCACTCATTCTCTTCCTCTTGATGCGTAGAAATGCGGAATCGGAGCACAGCCCAAGAAAATTCACTTTAACACCCTTAAAAACGGGTTACACTAAATACAAATTACGAATAATCATCCCCTTGACTTTAAACCCTTATAACTCATAAACAGACGGTCCAATAACTGTTTTTAGGGACGTTTTAGAAACTTTAGAATCTAAGCTAAATATGCATATCCATAAAAAATGTATAAAAAATTTCTTTCACCCTTAAAATTGCTAAAATATGAAAAAAAGTCACATTTTTTAGGGAGTTTGACAAGTATTTTGGCAATTTTAAGGGTGAAACAAATTTTTTAAACGTTTTTCATGGATATGTATCTCTAGCTTAGATTCTGAAGTTTTTAAATAATCCTTAAAAATCATTATTTGATAAGTTTAAAAGGAGTTATAAGGATCCAAAGTCAAAAGTAGATGATTTTTTGACCCTCACTTCGACTTTGGACCTCTCTTGCCATTTTTTGGGGTCGAAAAATAAAAGTACTCCGATTTTCAAGTTTGACCACTCATTCTCTTCCTCTTGATGCGTAGAAATGCGGAATCAGATCAAACATACGAAAAATCAATTATTTCACTCCTAAAATGGGGTAAAACCGGAACTTACTCTAATTTTAGCATCAATTATGCGCCAATTATGATTTTAACAATGTTGACTCTATTTCTCTTGTCGAGATCTATCAAATGAGCCCTCCATCAACCCTATACCACTATTAGCATAGAAGTTATGCACATTTTTATGTCTTACAATTTATCGCCAATATATCATTATTTCATTATCTGAAAATTTAACAAAAAAGAAAAAAATTCAACCTTTGGGGAACGAAATTATTTTGTACGGATTAGAAAATATTTGAAATATTTCAGAAAAGCTTCAAAGACAGTCAATCATTTTTTCACTTGTTTTTACCAAATAAAATTTATCGTATCATATTCCAAGAAAACTTGCTAATTAATCCATTTAGAAAACATATAATTATGTAATTAAATTTTTTCTCACAGAAATCTACTAGGTAATTAAGTCATGTTTTTGTGAAATATAATCCTAATAATATTCAAGGTGAGAATATCGCGTTAAAATGATACAAAAAATTGTATGAATTGTTTACTAAATAAAAACCAAGGTCGGTTTATCTTTCATCAACTTTTAAATATGATTCCTCACTTAAAACATTTTCTTTTAAGAAGCAAATGAATTTTCGTCAAGTCAGTAAAACCATTATAACATATTATTTTTAAAAATCCTTGACTAAACAAATACCTCGTAATTTTTATTAAAATAATTATCTGTCATAGACATTGAGTAACATAAGTAATAGACTCGTGAACAAACATAATAAAATTTTTCTCCATGTTACGGATTAATCATTATCTTAATCTCAATGTACATAATCTACAATAATAATTTTCAATTTCATAACTATCAGGTAATTAATCTTTTCAGAATTACTCAATTCATATCTATTCCACCTGTGCTATCAAGATTCTAAATGACAGTACGAAGGGATCATTGCTGCCCTAAAAAAACAATATATGTAAATCTTCACAATTACATACCGTGAGAAATTAAAAAAAAATTTTCATTAAAAAAAAAATGTTTATTTTTGAATAAATCTGTTTTTAAAACAATTTCAATTAGCACTCAAAATAAGTGGAGTAATGCTGGTAATAAGTAGAGCAAAAGTAACAGTCATCATCATCATGAAATTCTTTTTTCACTTTTAATGATTTTTCTTCATTGCAGAAAGTGTTTTCATTAAAATTCTTATAAAATATATTCAATTCAACTAATGATAACATTAATACATCAAATAAATTAAAAATTTTAATTAATTAAATGAATAATTCAGTGAAAACAATCTATAACAATATTTTAAGAAATACTAATAAAAAATCATCTAAATGTTTAAAATAATGTTTGTAATAAAAATGATGATGACATAATCTATCTCTGCTATCAACTCTATTCCACATGACTCTAGAGCTAATATTCAATCAAGGAAAACTATCACTGCTTCAACCTAGCCAACATGCCTTCTCATCATTTTGCATAAACCATGTCTACTGAATAAAAAAAAAACATTCCTTGCGATATGTACACAGAGTCATTTTATCATCCGGAATTATCAAAAATAGGCGTATTAGTCAGCACGTGTAGCTTCGACCTTGGTGGAATGATTTCCTGTAGCGTGATACCACGGCATACCATAACATCCTCAGTTGTCTGAACGTTAAATAATACCATAGAAGCACTTATATTTCATAGCATCTTCGACCATAATCAATACTCCACATGAATGTGAATTAAGACGATGATGCATACACGTACTTGATATGCATTCAACACAAGCAGGATGCGATACTTCCGTTTATTTGTTCTTCTATCAGTCAATAGTTAGCTCGCGTGAGTCTCAACCATAACACTTTTCTGCAATCCAGTTTAATTGATAGTAATCCCAAAAGACCTTGGGTTATCCACTGAATGTGAGAATTTTTTCAAGTTCACTTATCATTTAACAAGTGTGCTAATTTTTAATACGAGTCACGCATTTTTCAGTACTTTGATTACATGATGATAACAGAGATCCTAGCACGCGATACTTAGTTTGCTACATCGAACATAAATGAGAAATACCTTGTACATTAGCCTACAGTCTTGGCAGCAGATCAGCTTTTCCGCGTGCCTTTCAGTCTATTTAATTGCCTTATATTCTTGATTTTAAAGATTACTGCATAATCGAGTACTAGTGAGATTGCTTGAGGAATTTTTTTCCAATTATCGCGCAATTATCTGGTTTTTTGCTTGGTGCACTTATTATATTTTACGTCAAGTGAAACGCATAATTTATGGGTATTAATTCATAGTTAATGGTCCAATCATTAACAGATTTAACTATTCATGAATTATGCTTATTTGAATGAGTAAACTCTCTATTCTAAGAAGTACAAGTGAAAAATTTTATCATGTATATAAGTTTGAAAGTAAATGAAAAATAGATTATTTAAATTAAATATTTTTTTTTTCTGTAAAGAGATTGTGAAAATTGATATTAACATTTAATTTTTCATTTCATTTAAATTGTGATTATATGGTAAAATTAAATGTTTATCTTTATAACAATAAAAAAATGATATGGATTTAATTTTTCTAGTTGACCCATTTACTAGCTTACATTAAGATAAAGACTCGAGCAAGCAAACAACACGTAGTTCTATTTAAATGAGTAGCAGTAATAATTTTATTATCAAAAGTAAAACCACAATGACATTTTTTTAGTTGTGCAATTCATTTTCCTAATCAGCTTTAGTCTAGAATTCAATTATCAATTTATAGTCTTAATGACCATACTTACAGAAACAGATTAATTAATTCTAACTCTAAAGTTCACATAGAAATTCCTACAATCATTAATCAACCAAATTTCTATCAACAAATTGAACCAAAAGATCCAACTATCTTCTACCTTTTCAACAAGAAATAAATAATTAACATTGAAAAAATTGAAACTAATTATCAAGAAAGATAAGTTTTAATTAAAAAGTGAAAGACAAAAATAAAAGCTTCGAGTATTTAACAGATGTAAACATGAAACAACTAGTTAATGTTTTCATTTATTAATGAGGAAAAAAAGCTAAAATATTATATGACTTAATTTTATGTTCAACGAAGGTATTCCACTTCTCTATTTATAGTCCCTTGATCTTATGAACAAGTTGAACAACAACTAAACGGAGTTACATAGAAGCTTATATAGAGTTTCATCTCATAAAAGCGACAAGTGCTCACATGTTACGTTAGTTTGGCGCCCTCATATCCGTGACGTAATGATTGTGGGGCAAAGCTATTATTACTTGGGGCGTTACAAGAGCAACAAGTATGTGCCTTCAAGTTTTCGCGGCGTGTCAGGAACTCCGGACACGCGGTTACGCCTTCACTGGTCGCACGTGACATGATTACTTATTTCCTACTTCTCTATTTATTCTTTGTTTTCCTAAATTTTCCCACAGCAGGTGTGACTTCATTATCATCACATTGGCCACCTTTTGCCTGCTTTTAAATACATAATGACTGAAAGTGACACATTGTGGCAAACAGGCCAGGTTTCAAATTTTCTGTTAAATAATCATGAAAAGGTGCACACTAATGATTCCCATGTACATATAGAACTCATAGCACCTGCATTCGAATCAAATTACCAGGAGGCCCGCAGCCAGTTGCCCTTATATCCCCTCTGATATGTTCCATGTCTATTTCTACCCTCCACTATGCCCTACATGACACTTGATACATGTGTTTTTTTAAAACAGCGACCTCATCTATTAGCTTTATAACTGAAACTCAACAATAGAATTGAAATATAAAGCCTCACTTGGGGATTAAAACCTAGACCCTAGACATTGTATCTCAATCTCAATAATTCAATAGGTTTTCAACTTCAATTGAAAGCTACAAATTAGACTCAGTTATCACCAAGTTAAGAATCTAAAACTTACAATTAATTTATTGATACTTAAAAATCATGAGTAGCAGTTTGGGAGAGAGAAGAAATTTATTAAAATGTCATAAATTTCATTTATTGAGAAAAGAATAAAAATTTATTGGACTTGAATTTTTTGTGAAGTAATTTTGTATTTAATTTGTTGGTCTAGAGAATTTTAATACTTTTCTGGTAGAGTCATTAAAATAAAAGTAATATCTCTTCTTTTATTACTAGAAACTTGGATACCTAGTAATGAAGCGGTTTTTCTTAGAATACATAAATATGTTTTCTGTGGATTAGAAAAGCAATCAGTGATGATATATCATCAATAATTATTTTTTATTATTTCTAACTCAAGGTTTTTTTTTCTCAATCATCAGCTATTACATTAAATTACATAACACGAAAGTTTTAATTAGAAATTCTCTGTTTTATTTTTAAAAAAAGATCTTTTTGTTTGCTAAAAGTCATTAAAAGAAGTATTCATGATTGATCAATCATTGAAACAGGTTATTGATAAGTTAGGTAATTTATCAGCTTCATCCAAAGTATTTGAAACATTACAAAATAGTTTCTAGTAATTTGAATGAATCATTTGTTTAAAAACACAATTACCAATTATTTTCAATATTCATTTAAAAATGTGTTATTTATTACAAAACTTGACTATCAATGATTGGAACGTCAATCATAAAAAACTACACTTGCATGAAGCAATAAATATCTTACCAGTGTTGATAGAGTGAATGATAATATAAATCCACAGGCAATGCACTTGTTCACATAAATAAAAACAAAATTGTTATCTACAGATACTCAAAAATGTTCCACATTCAATTTGCAATACGGAAAACTTGAACGAGTGGTATCAAAGGTGGCGCGAATCCAGCTAACAAGTCGACTAATTCGAAGCAAGTCAAGAGAAGTTGAGTGGTTGGCTCACGCGATGTTAGAGAGAAGTGAGAGATGTGCTGATGTGGAGGAGGTCTTTGGAGGAGGCAAGTGATACACCAGGTAAACAAAGAGAAAGACACTAGATGAAAAATGAAAGTCTAACTGTATAAAATAACGCACGTTTGAAAATAATCCTCATGTAGGTAAACTATACACTTGGTGTACTTAACACCCGCACACTCCAACTGACAATGAACGGGGCCAGAATTGCTTCGCGCTTACTACCGTGCAGTCGCTCGACGGCCGCATGGAAAGATGACCCCAGACATGGGACTGTTGCTCATTGGGGCCCTGCGTCAAATTATGGACAGAGAGAGGAGGAGGAATCAAAACAAGTGTGAGCGAGGTGAAGAGAGGTCTCATGGTGTGGTGGGAGAGACTGGCTTCGTGATAGCAGGTCTCAAAACCAGCTGAAGAACTCGAAGACTTGGAATTTTTACCTTTGAATTGAACACATGCGATCCAGCTACAGGTAAAAATATATCTGTCAAGTTTTGAGTGATTAGATGAATGATGTTACCAGGGAGGAAAATTGATGTGTTTTGTTACAAAAAAAAACCCAGCCACGCAATCTTTGTAGTCTAATCAAAATAAACTAGACAATGACTTGAATTATTCTATTCAATAATTTCTTATTGTTATTTATAGATTTTTTTCCTGGATTGAGTCAAGCTGAGGAATTACAGAAGAGATGTAATATTCACAATTAATCATTATTTCAGAACAAGTGTCATTGAGAGAATGATTAAATAAATAAAAAATTGTTGTTGACAAAAAAGAGCCAGGGCTCTTGAACTGGACGATGCTGGACTGGTTTTGAAGAATTAAATGTCGCGATGAATAAAGTAAAGCTGACAAGGCAGGGCTAGTGTGTGTACACATACGAATAAATATAAAGAGAGCTGGGGACATTGCTAAAAACACACTTTGATCCAATAAATGTCAGTGTCCCCATATGGATAATAGAGTGAGAAGAGGTCTTTGTCATTAATATAAGTCTATGAACAGATCAAGTACAATAATGCTAATATTAATATTACGCTCAATTCTTCTCATATGTTCTATAGATTAAATCCCATGTGACTTTTATCAATACCAGTAAGCTAACTCACGTCTTTTATATCACTGCATGACTAAATGTTTTCTCAGTATGTTCCGAAAAAATTGAGACATCAAACGAATTTAAATTCACGTCTTATTAAGAGAATAATGACGCTTGATGAATGTGGGACATCATCAAGGAATCCTCCCACGTTGGAAATTTTCTGATTCGCAATCAAAAGAGAACTGTTACAAATCCTTAATTGTATCATGGTAATAAATGTAAAGAGGAAAAAATTAAAATAAAATAATCCAACAAATAAACAAAGTAACGTTGCTGAATGAGTCACATCCTACGATCCACACATTCCGCTGTGATGTCATATAGCGATTGGCATCACATATATAAAATAATTTAAGCAAGCAACGAAAGGTTTTTAATATCAAAAAGAAACATGACACATAAATATTAACAATTGATATTAATATTAATGATAATGATGATGATAATACACCAAGAAAAAACTTTCACACACGAGAAACATTGAACAAGATGGTATTTTATCACAAAACTTAAGATATCTGCAATGTATATGCACGAATAGATTATCTTATCAGCAGAAACTTGTCTCGCGTTTCACGCTTTGATCGACGTGATTACCATTATCTGAAATACTTGACAGCTCCGTAGTGTCATTAATGTTGCATTTATGTAAATGATCAAACTTCCATACTCTATAATTACTAATTATAAGTTACAAATATTTTTTTCTCTTCGTTTACATCGTAATTATTTAATATGCTAAGTGTTTATTTAGTTTTGGTTGTGAAAGCAACTAATTATTATTCATTTTTTATTACTTGTTACTGAGAAATTGATAAAAAAGTGTAATTCAATTGCTTTTGTTTCAAAGTTAGCTTTAAATATTTTTTGTTATTGTAATTTATTTGTAGTAGGCAGGTATAATAATATTAATTATTTCTCGGTGTTAGCTTTCACAATTTTTATCTGCATTTCATAACAATGGTGAGAATACAGAGCAGTCAGTCATCCATGCTCTCACCTTGCTCCAATTGGAGATCTTCATTTTTATGATGTAAAGTTGCTTGTAATAATGAGATGTACACTTTGTTTTTCTTTTGTTCAATTAATGGTTGATTGTTGAAGATTATTGGTGTTTTATAGAATTATTCTTAAATTATTTAAATCATATATGCCTTCATTTTTAAATATAAAACAAATATTGAGAAAAAAAAACAATCATAGAGTAACAATAAAGATTAATTAAGAATAAATATGTTGGATGAATACACAGGATGTGAGATTATTTCGAAAAATAGATTAACCAATTGAAAGAGACTTTTACAATTTTTACATTAATACTGATGTGGATGTGTGTCAGAGAGAAAGATAAAAATTCAAACATTTTTAACAATGATAAAAATGATATAGACAATTATATCGTACAATCTGGATGATGTGCATGTATGTTTGATGAATGATTCATTTTAGCATGAAGGTGTATTTTATCGCAATACATCAATTGAATTAATCACTTTAATTGAGACAAAAGATCTAGATAGAATGATATTTCTGAATAAGATCCAATTCATTGTCATAAACTTTATAAATCTTTTCAAAAAAAATTATATTTATTTTTCTGAACGTGATTACAAAAATTAAAAAATATTTAACAGGGAAAAAATTTATTTTCAGCTTCAATGCTACTTTATATTAATTCAACTCTTGATGTTCATTATTTTCAATAATTAATATCCTTTCATAATATTTGTAATATAATAATCATACTGGAATTCATTTTTGTGTAACATGAAATAATTTTACCAATTAAAAGATGAAAGGACACTGGACATATATGAATTAAATGATATAGTAAAAATGTATGATACATGCAGTGAAAAGAGATGAAGCTTGTCGTAAAAAACAATTGCATACACAAAAAAACTGCACAAAAATTGCATACACAATGGCAAAAAGTTTATTGGCAAAAAAATATTATTATATAATGCATTGTAAATAGTAATAAACTATCAGTGTTATCAATAATATACTTTTGTGTTCTGATATGTTGCATAATTATTAATGTGTGTAATCAATTATTAATTAATTCAACATTAATTACGTAGTCCTAAGTATTACCTATCAACTAATTAAATACTTTATCTAATACTTTTGTCAACTACTCCAATATAATTTTCCAATATTGTTAATATCAGTTAATAAATTATTATATATATATAAAAAAAATTTTCTCATTGATAAAATCTCTCTAATTAATAACTAATATATTATCATGTATAATAATTATACCAATAGTTGACCATTTTTAAAATTTAAATACAAAATTCTATTTAAAAAAATTTATCATCACTTTGAAAATATTTTTCAAAAATTTAAAGCTGCATAAAATGGTCAATTGATGGTATTTAATTTATTAGAATTATTTTTAGATCCTGTCCAATAGGTTTTCATTGATATACTAATAAAGAAGTAACATATTAAAGACGAATATATAATTATAAAATATATAATTTTTGATCACAGAATATAACGTCGAATATATATTCTAAATCTATACTAACATGCTAGAGCAGCTTCATCCATAATAATAATTATGATAATAACATTAATAAGAACAATAATATTAATATTAATAATTATTATTTTTATAATAATAAGAATAATAATAGTAATAATAATAATAATTGATAAAGTTCAATACAAATTGATTTCTGATAAAATATTAATCATTAATTAAATATAACATGTAATTAAAAACAAAGAAATTTAAAATGAATTATAAAAATATTTTTTTTTATACCACAATATAAATAAGCCTCTTGCCAATATAAATAACTGATTAACGAATAATAATTTCAATAATTAAAAAGCCAATAATATAAAATAAATGGAAATCTAGCGTCAATACGTTAATAACATTAAAATCTCAAGCCCTTGGAATATGCATAAAACATTTTAATTTTAATTTAATATTTTTGTATTCAATTAAGTCTAGTGAATAAATTATTATTGGAAAGTAATTAATTTTTTTCTCTCGTTTATTCATCCGGATATTTCCCGAGTATGTGGGAATAAAATTAGGAAGACAATACCCATATCATTTGATGTCATTTGTATTTTATATTATTTTGTTGATTATGTAGTCGGGTTAGATATGTTAACAAAATATCAACCGCATTGACAAATTTTTTTTATTTTCAACGACACAACGATTATATGCATGTACACCAGGGCATAAAGCGTCATGCGGTGCAGCCAAGCGTGTGTTGCTGTTTACCTGCAAAGGGCACATCACCAAAGTACTCCTCCACGTTGTCTGTGGACATACTTTTGTCCGAGAGTGAAACACTCGACAAAGAGCCGCTTGATGCATCAAGAGATCCACTTGGTTGAAATTGTAAGAGATCCTCATCCGTTTCAGTTTCCATATCGCGTGAACGTCGTTTATAAACCTAGAAAAAAATATTTTATGCAATGTAACATATGTGAATATTCCTGAATCTTCCAGTTCATTTGTTATCACTTTAACATTATACTTCTTCTACACGAAACTCAGCATGGAAAATGATGCAAAAAAAAAAAAATTCATTGAGTTGGTAAATAAAAAACTGACGCGATTTTCATGCAAATTTATTGAAATAAAATTATATCATGATATCTTGCTATAAAAAAAAATGTATAAAACCAACACATCCAGTACAAATGTGAATGATGAACATAAGTTGCATATGATTCCTATCAACCATAAATGTTTTACACTACAGATACAATTGAATTGATAATTATTATTTATTATTATTTATCAGTGAATGTTAAAAAATGAAATAAAGCTATTGAATAATTAGTAATTTGTGATTAAGTGAAGAACCTGAATGAAAACACCTGCACCATTTCTCGAATGCATCACCGTTATTTTAAGCATCAAGATATTTACAGAAGAGCTAAGTTAGCACATTTTCCACGAGGATAATTAATTGATGATTAAACATGAAATCCAGCAAGATATGACACTAATTTATACATATAACATTTGGACCATTTCAGCAATATTTAGCTCCATACTCTAATTCTATTAAAAGCCTTCATTGTGAGAAAATAGTAATCAACATTGAAGCGATGCTTAACCAACTTACGGTTGTAAAGTATACAAGCATATATGTGTCAATAAACGTAAAGTCTTCTAGACAGGAGTCTTGAAATATATTTTGACATCACACATGATAAGAGCTGTTGATTTGCAGCATCTCCTCCTAATCTCATTTTAGCAATGTTTAAGAGGCAGTAGAGAAGCATCTCGTCAAACAGTCAGCTGTTTTACACAGACGAAAACGCCGACAACATGAGGATTGAAACCACAGGTATAAATTCGCAGATTTCTCAAGGAAACGATGCTGACGTGCATCGTGAAACTCAAGGAGAAATGATGCTTCGTAGAAACCTGAAGTAAAGGCAGACTTCATTATTCAAAGGGTGTCGGCGTCTTGCGTTCTGCCGCTTCGTTGATTTTGCGAAAGTTGACGGGTGAGATTCAACCAGCCGCATACCTACAAGCTCTCCTTTATATACAACTGTATTACTATGCCTGTACCTTACACTCCTTTCTTCCTCGTTCCATTCCTTAAACTTTGAGTTGTCTCTTCGTCATTTTCGCATCATCTCGTTACCGTTTTCTATCTTGACACCTCCGTTTCCGACTACAGTAACGAGATTCGATCCTATAAAGAAATTGCGCTTCCTTGTCACGTTCCCAAGAGAAATTCACCGAGAACGCGACTTTCAAGACTCCAAAGCGATTGAAAGAACAAGGTGAGTAATCTAAATAGCTTTTTAATCAAAGGTGTCTCTCTGTATTCACTCAGTATTTTTGGTGATCAAATTTCATTACTGATGAAAGAATTAATCTAAAATTACAGACAAATAATTAATAATTATTTTAGTTATTATTTTTTTCTATAAGAAAATTATTGATCATCTTTGTTTTTTCAATTAATTAAATCATTACATAATTATTTAGAGATTTTTTTTTATTAATCATTATTTAAAAGTCTTTATTGCAGCTATTAATTGTTAAAAGCCAAAAAAAAATCACCAACTTGAGTTAAAATTAAACTTAACTTCAAACGAATAAATGAATGCAAATGAAAAACCTGAAGCCAGTTAAAGGAACGTGTTTTGAATATTTAAGTGATAGTCCTACGAAGGTTTTATATTTGATAAACCAAGTTTTTAACATAATATAAGCATTCAAAATCGTTGAGATAATTTTGGTGATGGCTGTATATTCCCTATTGATAAGTAAAGAGAGACATAAGATTTCGTTTGAGAAATATCATTGCTTCTTGGTCCAAATTCATCGACTTGGAAACCCGGAGAGAGCTTCAAACGAAAGAGGGATGCAAACACATCGATGATCTTTCTACGGTAGGGTGGCATATTCAAAGCTTTCAGGAGCGGATATGTTTGACACAGAGAGAAAGAGAAGAGCAAGAGAATCCAAGTAAGAGCCTGAGGGAAGACGAGACTTCCTCCATCCGTAGGTTATATTCACTGTGCAATATTTCGTCAAGCGTGTCACAACTTACGGAACGTGGATTGCGGGTGCATATGAACTGATGAGAAGTTATATCACACAAGAATATTCGTGCGTCTTTCAACTATGTTATCCGTATGCACTGCTCGACATATCCATCCTATAGCTGTATAAAAGACGAGCAAAGTGAACGATACTAGCCGTACAGCAGAATGATCACAGGATGACACGCAGCAAACAGCAATATCAAGGTAAAAGCAGTCGAGGGTTATGTACAAAGATAAAAGGAATTTCTTGTAAATCGCATTACAAATCAAATGCTATCTTGTGTATATTGAGTATAGCTCACTGAATCTTGATCATTATAACTACTTATTTTTACGCAATCGATTGCATCGCTAATCGCGGTTTTTATTGCTCTATTTACTTCTAACAACGTTTTTTTTTATTGATATAAATAATCATTGAAATATAAATTATTATATAAGAATAGAATTTTTATTTATTACATAAAATTATGTTGTTGATAATATCAAGTAAATTATAATAATAAATAATAATAAATAGGTAATAAAAATAATAATATTACTAAGTTGATAATCTAAGAACTTTCTTGGATATGTAAAGAAATTGATATAAATTTCATATTTATGTTTCTTATCAGTGAATTATTTATAGATAAATTTTTTTAAAATCACAGAATTCGCTACTTCTTGATAAAATTTACAAATAATTTATAATTTCTAAATACTTTATCGACATCAAAATACTAAAAATCATTATGTTTTATCCTTCAATACAATTAACTTGAAAAAGATGAAGTTGGTATAAAACACATGCATTATTCTAGTGTGTGAAAGCAAACATTTAAACTTACCTGACTCAGTGGACGAATTCTTTCATGAATAGACTTTTCAGCTTGTAAAGCGGACGGAGGGGGATGGTCTGGTGTTGGTGGTTGAACATAATGTGTTGGACTTGTAGGAATAAGCATTTGTACCCTCTTGAGTCTTTTGTCTGTTGCTTCTCGGTTGTCATTTAACACTTGGCCATCGCAATTTTCACGTTTTTCATCAAGAAGACTTTCTTGAGAAGATTTAAGTGTTAAAAATGCATTGGAGACAAAAGTTTGATCATTAGATGCACTTTCACTACATGGAGATTCATCAACTCCAGGACTTCGTTCAAATTCATAATTTTCATAAGCTCTTTCGCAATGTCTTCGTAATTTTCTTCGTGGGTTTTGAAGTTTTATCAACCGATCACCATATACAGCTGTCAATGCAACTGGTTCCGTTTCCGGTCGTCTAGTGAAATCACTGCAACGTGCCTTCATGTCTACATATTGATCTACACTTCTAGTAACATGGCGTAATTGATCCCGACGACTTTGAAGTTGGTCAAGATCTATATGGCTTCTTGCACCACTTCTAGCGAGAAATAAGTATTCATAATTGCTTGGACCAAGTGAACAATCAGCCGAGAGAGACATTTGTGTTTGTAGATGAGTTGGTGAAACTGATAAATTCCTTCGAGGTGGCTTTTTAGGAGGTGTTGGCTGCAAAATAAAAAACATTTTTATTTTTTATCTGCTCCGTTAATTAAATTGAAATATATTTTAAGAATTTATTCTTTGTATAAAAATTAATTCAGCATGCTTTAAGATGTTATCAATGTTTTCAAGTTATATATTTTTACTTTTATATCTTTATTTGAAAGAAAAAATTTAATTAAGAGAAAATTCTTTGATATTAAAAACAAGCAATAAAAATAACTGAAATAAACATTTATTAAAAACAATTCGTTGTTCTTTTCTAAGTAATTAAGAAAAAAATTTTTTTTTTAAAACATAAATAATGTTCTGAATTTGGAGCAAAATAGCTAACTGTTATTGACATGATACAACTTACCGAGACTTTGCTGTTAGAAGCAGGACTGTGAAGTGAACTGGACAGTGGAGCCATAGGCAAGTAAATTCCAGAAATTCCAGAATCGTTTGGTAAACAACGTCTATCCCTGGGGCTCGGTCCACCGACGCTTGATGAAGACGAAACGCTCAATTGATCAGATTCTCTACCCACAAATCCATGAGGTAATGTCAAAGACAGATCCTCAGAGACGTAACTACCTTCCGTACAAAGAGGTGCTGGTGGCGTCTGGTATAATCCACTATCAGAGCCCCTGAAGATAAAAAATTTGTCTTTTATCGAATTGCAAACTCGTTAAATATATTGTTTATTACGTCCAAGCACTTTGTATAGCTAATCTAGAGCTCAGCGAAGCATGTCTATGTGAATATACACGAAGCACGATGATCTGCATCTGCGAATTTGTGTACTAAATGTTGCGATTTGTTTGAACCGTTCATACCGTAGTGTTTCTCGCGGTGATACAGGTGTTGTGTTGGTAGGAATGTCAAATTGTTTGTCGTCGGGTGTTTGATCAGAGCTTGCAAGTGTATTTATTGAGTTGAGAGTATCAGACATGGACATGAAGACACTGTCGAAGAGCGAACTAGGATCGGAGAGATCTTCTGTCACTTGTAGATATCCAATTGGTCCATTTGTTTCCTCTAGGACATCACTGCTAAAATTACGTCGTCAGTCATATTGTCCTATTAACTAATCCTACTAACTAGTAACTAATTTTTTTTTTATTTCTAGGTTTTTACTATTAATTAGCACCAGCAATGAGGTGATAATAAATACCTTGAAATGAAAAAGTGATGATTTAATGATTGAGTTCATGAAATTATATCATTTTTTTTTAATGAACAATAGATTTTTTTATATACACAATATAACATGTAGAAATCATGTGACATCAATGGAAAAAACTTATGATTCAACACTCCACTGAAGAAAAAAGTAAACTGTAGATCTTAACTTCAATTTGATATATAAATATCTGATGTTCTATTTTCATCAAAAAGTAAAAGATGATACTCCATTTAATCACAGATGATCAGACCAATACTCATACTCGATTATAAATGACTTGATCTAGCTAAATGCCTATCACTTTCATATCAATTTTCAGCATCAAATAAAAGAGATTTAAATCAAATAATACGTGATATCACATTTGATTTAATTAAATCTGATTGGCTTCAACTCTATCTGACTAAAACTACTTTTTAAATTTAAATATTTTTCTCACATTTTTCACCCAAATGAAAATTGTCAATCAAATTAATCAACAAATTATTCTTCCTTTTTTCAAAGTTTCCATATAACCTTTCTTTTCAATTTTAATATAAAAACCCAAAAAAAAAAAAATTAATTTTCACCACAAAGAGCTTTTTTCTTCCTCTTAATAACTAATTTTTCTCTTTGTCCAAGTTTCCTTTAGAATTCCAAAAAAAAAGAACAAAACAAAAAAAAATGGAAACACTAATGAAAAACGAGGGAAGAAAAAAATGAACAAAATAAAGAAAAAGTAGAATAGTTATTAGTTTTATAGTAAAAACGGGCTAACATTTACATTGTCTAACATGATGGATCCATCTCCTCGTAGACGTAACAAAGTTCCTGAGTACTGTACGGGGTTACGTCAAACATTGATGGTAGTAACGGGATTGGATGTCGAGCTAGCACGATACCAATGGGGTTGCAGGGGTGACCCGAGGCGAATGGACTCACCATAGCCTGCCTACATCAGGAAAATTAAACCAAGCCAAGCGATGTTTAACGCGCTGGAGCTACCGTACCACCTTTCTACTCTGTCCTTTACACTCTCTAAAGCCAGAGGTGGCTTACCCTTCTCAAGCTAGCTACCACTATGTTACCACCGATATTCTCTACTTTCTCCACTTACTTCTCTATATACAACGTACTCATTCATTCCACTTTGGTTTACATCTGTGCTTTTGTTTGCCCACATCTCCTATATTAATCGTAGAGTTGAAACCACTGCTATATTGAGTTTTCGCGAAATATTACGGCCACTAGGGTCAATGAGAATTCATAAATGTGAGGAAGACCATAAAAGGAATAAGAATAAAAAATTGAAGAAATACTCTAGTAGAGAGATGCAGATCAAGTTTTATCAGAACGTTTGTTTTTTTTTTCTTTTTAGTTTTCTTCATATACATACTCGTTTGTCTTTTTATTCAGGCTTTTTTCTTTTCATTTTTGAGTATATGTTCAGTAAGCGTAACACGTTGTACGAATGAGAGAAAATGGAAATGAGGGAGCCAAGCACTTCCATCCTGGTATAATTTTCTTTCTTGACGAATTGTTATACCAGAGACACTGGTCCAAGAATGGAACATAATTACATTTTCAACAACTAGAATTATATTCTCACGGATACTGCACATTTATATGGAACTATTTCTACTTTATGCTTATATTTTTTGTCTCTTGATAAGAAAGTACATCGGTCATTCCACAAATATCTCCATTCTTTCCATATATTTTCCACTTTCTTCAAAATTTTTCATATACTTAACAGTGTATAATGAGAATATTTTTTCTCTCTTTTAGTACTTCCATTAAAATGTATTTTATTTTATCACTTTTATTTTAATCTCGGTAAAAGAATCTGACCCGGATGGATTAAAAAGTATTAAAATATGAAAAATAGTTACAAGCAAGGTAGATTCTCATATAATTGTTGGATCTGTCATTATCAAGAATATAATTATATACATTTTTTGTTTATACTCATAAACTTATTTTACTATTTATAGAGAAAATGTTAAAAAAAGAAATAAAAATATTTTTAATTTTAAAATGTTTCAAAATTCAGAAAGATTCCTTTTCAAAAATTTTTTTAATAAATGTAAAAATATACTAAAGTATTAATTTTAATGACATTAATGTCAAAACAATTTTTCATCCATCCATTTACATATAAGTTGGTTTTTTAAATTTAAAAAATAATTTCTAAAAGAAAGTGTTTTAATTTTATAAACCCGAAATTTAATTCTGTCGAATATGTAAATTAGTTATTTTTTTATTATTCGTAATATAAAAATATTATTTTAAGATCAATAAAATTATTTATAAAATAAATAAAATAAAGAATGTACTTACAGTGACATGACTGAGGTACCAGAAACCCGACGATCTTCTTCTCGTGGCTTATGATAGAATTGCCATTGAGTAGGAGACGATCCTTCTACCGATGAGAGATCATCTCCAGGACGAACATTTTCATAAGGACTTCCTAATGATTCATTTTGAACAGGAATTGGTGGGAGATTTTCACTTTCTGTATCACTTTCTATTCCGGAAGACGATCGATGTCCTTTGAAAACAGAAAAAAAAAATTATTTTTATCAAGTCTTTCAAGATTCTTGCCTATACTTTTTTGTATTCATTTTTTTTTATGATCAGACTTTTAATTAATTATTCAATGATTTTAATTATACTCACTTTTTATCACTGCAGTTATGTCATGTGTGACATGAGGTGGAAATTGACCGAGAAGATCAAGCACCGTGTTCTGTCGCGAATCTCTGATACCAAGATCGACTCCACGATCTAAAAGTGCTCGCACAACCTCCATTTTACCACAGAGAGCTGCTTCATGCATCGCAGTACCGGCTGATGTTCTTGTATTGACGTCCACGCCGGAGGCCAAAAGAACTTCAACAACAGCCCTAAAGCAGAAAAACATGACATTTTTATAGATTATCCTCTATAAGTCAGTGAATTGAACAAATAATGATTTAAAATGAAATATGTTCCTTCAAGATAAATCCTTTTTTTTCCATCATGACATATAAAATTTAAGTTAGAACTTTTTAAGATAAATTTTAGAAAATATTTGTAAATTAAAATGACTTTTTCTGGGCAAATTTTGTTAAAAATTGAGACATAAAATTGATTAAATTATTGATCCCTAATTATGTGTGATCTTATAATTTTTATCTAATCATTTTCACTACCAGAGATTGAAGTGCAATAATTGATGGCTTTGAATAGATGGATCGTATCATGTCAGCTTGGACTATATTAATTTCTCTTAGTGTATTTGCGTGTAGTTTGGGTAAATAGACTAACAGATAAACACAGTTCACTAGATGAACAAATCATATAGATCAGAGAAATTGAATTGGAGACATAAAGATAATATCTTTATTGTAAAATATTATATTTAATAATTATAATCTTTCTATTTAATATAAAAATAAACTTTATCAAGATTGACATTTTTTTTTGGCAAAAAAATTCATTTGAGTACCATTTATAAATTCGGCATGATCAAAAAATGAATTAGCAATGCTAGTCAAGGATATTTACAAACAGGTGTGAAAATTCAACTAAACTGAAAGCTAAAAATAACCAGACGAAAGTAGATTGAAGCATAAACCAGCCAACATTGGATCTTAATAAAAGAACAGAAAGATAAAGTGACATGAGGTACGATTGTCTGCCACAGAGAATCAATTCCTCGACGATGGTATCAAATGCTTGTTATGCATACAGAAATATTCCGGTTGCCATGATATTCCGGGTAGTGCAGTGGCACAAATAGAGATAGAGAGCTTGTGACAGGATGAATGGGTGGATGCATGAGCGCGGGTGGAATATAATGCCTGGGGCAGTGAATCAAGCAACGGCAACGGCAGCCATCCATCGTCGATAGGATTGGAACCAGGGAGATCGGATTCGCATGCACCTATGTTGTTATTACCGTACCATAGGGGTATTTGTACTGGCTTACCAAGAGCAGCGATATTGAATCCGATAATTGACATTACCCCGCCTGACTCTATTCTCCCTCTATCTTTCACCCTCTCACTATGTCGCTGGGGCAACCAGCTAGGAGGCGTTCAGGTTCACGCACGTGCATGCTCGCAAAGAACCTAATGAGAATATTCATAGTGTACGCATGCGTCAGTGCATTGCATTGCATTCTTTCCTTTTATCTTGTCCCTTCCACCTCATCACTGACCCTCCAGCATCATCAAAACAATCTCGCGTTCAACCGTTGTTTAACCAAAATGTCCACCATCTCAACCAACTACTTCACATTTATCCTCTTCTCTGATGCTTTCTGAATGACCGGCAAATGCACTGGCATTCACCCAACTGCATTTCAATGCGATCATAGCATTATAGGCGAGGCGTTGTTGAAACGATTATTGCCCACTCTTTGCCCCCTTCCATTGTATCCTAAACTATCACAATATATACATATATACATGAAAATGGAAAAAAAAATCGCAACTGTTATACCCGATTACCATGTAATCGTAGTTTCGCGGCTATTTCGATTTGCAACCATTTTAACTGCGAACGAAATTATTCTAAAAGGATTAGCTGGAGATTAATGAAATGCACTTAATGTATATATTCAGAATGTGTTTCTACATATTATCTAATTTTTTATTTTCATTATATTGATATTAAAACTATTATTATATTGATGCAACTATTTATTTCTAACAATAGCTGTCTCTATTAATAATATCAATGCTGAGAAGAATTATTCTAAATTACTTTTGAAGCTGAAGAAATACTATGATTTATGATATATTTTATAATATCTATCAATATTGAGTAATAAAATGATGTACTGATCTTTGCACTGATAGTTTTCAATCTTCTTTCTTTTTCATATTATTAAAATAAATTAAATTGTTTTCAACTGATTTTATTTGACCTGAAAATATTCAAATCAAATAATCTTGGTTATTCTCCCAGAAACAAAAATCCTAAAATCAATTTGATAAAATTTTTCTAAACAAAATTCCAGGATTACACAATCTATAAAACCCGAAAAAAGCAATCCGTATAAACAGAGAAATCACTGAGATTTCCGGTGAATTGAGCAAAGAGAACTGGAACTAGTGGAAATCATTAAGCAGAAAACCTAATCCAGCATTACCTGCTTTCAAGACCTGTGTATATGACCAAGCAATATCTTAGCTGGGAATAAGCAACGTCTCGTGTCTAATACGATTGTCGTAATACGAAAGCGATCAGACATTTCCGTGTATAGGGATGACGTATGTACAGCAGGAGGGTAAGAGTGAGTGAGAATTAGGGTAGAATAGGGATAGAATGAGCAAGTATAGAAGCTTGAGGAAGAGAGAAAGATCAAGAGCCGGTTTGGTACGATAGTGTTCCCAGGATTCAACGGTATGCCAATACAATCGAGCCGGTAACACGCGGTATAGAGAAGCCACTACCATCGACTATCGAGCGTATATCAGTTGAATGGGATTATGCAACGTAGTGCTCTCTGATTGGCTCTAATCGCCAGTGCTGCAAATGGCTTGCTATCGTTATGTGTTTGAAAGGGGCATCCTGGATAATACAACATATAGAGACCATGACTACGCACTTGCCAAACACACATCTCCCTCATATGATTGTGTGCTAGTCGATCATCATTTCAGAAAAACTACTATGAGTCAACTTCATTCTAGGGACAGAGTTTAGTCATTTCCTGAGATGATTAGATCAAAAAATGACAAATGATAAAGCTATTAAATTCATTTCAATTGAGCTGTTAATTTAATTTGATCTTATCCGAAGGTGGGTTGTTAATATTGAATAAAACCAATATTAGTAAAAGCATTCATTTTCTCACCTGTGACCATTTCTAGAGGCAAGGTGTAGTGGCGTGTGAGGGAAGATCAACGATGAGGAAGAACTACGCAGTGCTTCAATTAACTCTGGATGTGTTCTCACAAGAAGTTGAACCGTTTCCAATCTATAAAATATCATATAATCAAGTTATAATTGATCAAGCAGTTAAACTCTTAATTAATGATCAATCATTCACCATATTATTTCAATAATCAGTGTAGGATTTTCATTCTTTGCAATAAAACTATTTGACATATGAACGTATATCTAAATAATTAACAAAAATATGTTTGTTGATATTTAAACTACTTCTATTGCATATATTGAACACGGAATTGTTTATAAAATAACAATAATAAATAAATAAATATTCAAGTTTTTTTTTGCATATATATTCACCTGCCATATTGCGCTGCAAGGTCGAGTGCAGATTCGCCACGGCTGTTCCGGATGCTGGGATCACATCCGTACTGCAACAGCTGGGCCACCACTTCTGTATGACCATACTGAGCAGCACAGTGTAAAGCTGTTTCATTGTCTTTCGTCTGTTATGAAATAATTGTAATTAATTTGAAGCATTTATATATGAAAATAAAATACAACAGATTAATTAATATAAAAGAGACGAATAATTTACCGTGAGATTAACATTCGGTACAGATGGCCCTTGACTGAGAAGTAATTTGACAATCTCTGCATCACCAGCCCACGCAGCTAAATGAAGTGGTGATGATCCTTTTGCGTCGACAACGTTAGTTGATGCCTCATGTTGTAATAATAATTTCACCACATCTCTGAAAGCAAAATGTTTCTCATTAAAATTCTCATGATTCTCATTGTTGTGTTGTATAATTCACTTGAAGGTAATTTAAATAAAATGTATATACCTGTGACCATTTAAAGCTGCGTGATGAAGAGCTGAATAACCACTAGCATCTTGCACGTTAGCTCCAGGCCCTCGTCGGAGGCTGTAAAAAAAATTTCATTACAATATAATAAGAGATTAAATTGAATACTAACGATGTTTAACTAATGCAAAATACCGCTTAAGAATAATAAACTAATCATAATCTTCTCATTTGTTGTGGCTAAAACTACGTATAGTGTTTATGCTTTTAATGCATTTCTGAGAATTTTGTGGTTTTAAATCAGCTGAGTTACATTCTATGAATTTTTTTTTATCTAGACCTGAAATAATAATTTCACACAGCTGTTGCTTTTTAACTTTAAGTCGATAATTAAAGAAAAAAATGAGATCTTACCAAGCTAACATTTTTTTTTATCTATAAATTTATCATTTCTAAATATTTTAAATTTAATTAAATTAATTTTACTGAAACATTGTTTATATAATAGTTTAGAAATGTACTTTAACAAGTTATTTTGTAAATAAAAAAAGTATTTTGTTTGTTAAAAAATATCAACAAGTTGAAATTAATAAAAGAAAAAAATCGTATAATCTCTTGTATAAAAGGAAGAAATAATTAAAACTCTACACTTGGTTTTATAAAATCGTAACTAAAGTACACCGGAATGGTAAAATTGTTTCGGCCCACTTTAGGTTGAACCTGTGTCTCTCCCAACGTCCAATTAATTCAACGAACAGTCTCATTCGTGGACCAGGCAGTTTCCGTCTGTAGAGCGGTTCATTTCCGCAATCAAGAATTCACATTGACTCATGTCAACAGCTGGATTTTCAGAGACAACGTTTTGGATATATCTCTAGTTGGTCTCTGAATGTTTATTATAATTCTGGATAGACTGTTAAAATTCAAAGAACTCTCCCTGTGATAATCCCAAACGAGTTACGTTGAGATAATCCATAGTGGTGGTGACGCAAATGTGATAGCAAAGCTTCTCGGTCGCGTCAACCAACTCGCTAACGAAGCCTATACGTTGGACACATGTCCTCGTTAAACGCCATTGTTGCGTCAACCCAACAAAATCCACGGCGTTATGGAGATCCACCCCCAAGGGCCACAGAATCCTATTGGGAATCTACCACAACGCAAGTGAACTTATGTTTACTGACCCCTTTGCTTTCGTTCAGAAAAATATTTTACCCTGAATCTCGTTACAGTAACCCTCTTATAATCGATTTAATTGACATGTCGATGGGTGAATTTTATTCAATGAACTTACTTATTAGTAAGAATTTGAATAATTTGCTTTTTAGAATTGAATTTGTCAGATTGGTGATCACTTATTCTATCGATAGTTGATTTAATAGACAACTACGTTAACTTCTGGACATAATAATGATTCATATGATAGGTGGAGTGTCCAATAATGATCATTTTTCCTCATCTCCAAGGATATTCCCTCTGATAGTTGGATAAAATAATAAGTCAAGATATTTATGAATCCTATGACACTCATAACCCCGAAACTTGATAAAGTGACCCCAATAAAGTCATCCAGAAAAATGTATTTATTTGACTCTCGAGCCAAGACATCTACTAGTATATGAATTTTTCTGGCTCCATTCCATCACCCTAAGATTAATAACATCATCATCTTCAAAGCACTCCAACAATATCACCCACTCTTATCTCAACTTATCAAAATAAAAATGATTCCTCTCAGTCATTAGTCCCTTTTCTGACTCACGTGCACACCCAATAGTCAACAGCTTAAAGTCTAGATGCCAAAGGATCCGCATTTCTCTGATGTATTGTATCAAACATCAAAAACCTACCGCAATGAATGCATTTGAAGGAGGGCTTTTTCTTCGCCAAGATAAAAAAGGAATAAAAAGTAGAATAAACGTTGACTTGACGTTAGTGAACAGGAGAGAAAATGGCACGTGCTCACATATATATTCTATGTGTACACGAGTTGTTTCAAGTACTCTTTCTCACTTACTCCCTTCTCTTTCTTTTCCTTCGTCCATGTATTTGTTTATTTCGCCCTCGTCTGATATCAATGAGAGCCATAGGGTCGCGACTCTCAAAGTCAACCACACTCTCAGTATAACTTTCATTCCCATGAACTACCCTTTCAGGTCCTGGATGTAGGATCCAAGCATCTGTGTACGTCATTCTGATGAAACATGTATATACGACATACCAAGGTGTGTCGTAAGCTTGTAATAAAGTACCAAACTAACATGTGTGAGTATGTGACATAGAAAGGGAGAAACAGCCAAGTACAAAAGCAACTCTCACAAACCCCCCTTTGGTACATTGGGGACATTTGACTCTCTCATTCATCGCGTTCAGCCACTCGCCGAGTTCCTTAATTAAACTCTGAAGATTGTCTGCAAAAAGGACATCGTTCGCCCTTTCCTTCACCCACTAGCAATACAAGAATAGCTGTGAAGTAACCCAAGATAGGGTATAGTTAAACTCTCTCACTTTCTGTCGTTTCTGCTTTCTCTCTTTCTTGATGTTGGATGGATCCACTTGGAACTGTACTACGAGAAAAGAGGCCAGACGCTTTTATATGTACTTCTTGCAGGACTTAATTAAGAGTACGCAGGGAATAAGTCTTGAAGTTGTAAAGACTTAAGTCACAAGTGGACTAGGGAAGTAATAGGACGACTGAAATGGCAAAAAGAGTCTAGCCCTTAGATTAATTCGAGAAGCAACTTTCTTTCAAACTTTCTCTACTTTCATATTTATCATTTTATATTTATACAGTTTTTCTCTACAAAATCATTTGTTGGATTTTTAATTGTTAATTTATCATAAGAGTTAATTGAAAATTATGATAATATTAATCAATTTAATTAAATAAAATGAATAAATATTTATTTTTAACTGAAATAAAACTTCTTATGACTCATTGTACTTTTGAATTTACATAAAATAAAAAACAGCTTACGAAGAAATATTACTAATAAATGACAATGAAGAATACTTCAATTTTATCATTAAAATATTTTTTAATTTTTTAATTGAAAATCAAGTTGAATGTTGAAGTTGATGTAAGTCAAATGAATTTACTATTTTACTGTATTATTTTTAGAAAATAAACATCACGACTAACCTAAATTAATATTTTTATTGATAATGATAACTAATTAAATAAGCCTTGAAGCTATCATTTGATAACAATAAAAAAGATAATAAATTTTCTGTAAAAAAAAAGATTTCTTTTCATTTAAAAATATTTACTAGAAAAATAAAAATCTTTTATCTTCTAAAAATCCTAAAAGTGCATTTCTAACATTTAATTGAATCAAAAAGTCTAATTTTATAATGAATAACCTCAATGTTCATCACTTTTATTTAAGAAAGTTAAATTAATCAATCGTTGGTTAAAGATTGAAAAGATTCTACCATGAAAGAACTCTTTATAAAATTTTCATACCAAGTTTCCATAAAAAAATATATCAATAAAAGCATGAAGAAATAAAACCAGAAAAAAAAGAGAAAAAAATAAAGGGGAAAAAAACTATAAAAAATATTGACGATGTATTTGTGTCTTCTAATACAACTGAGTTTATACTTTCTGGCATTGAGGGGTGGCGAGGCATCAATCGATAGTTTCCTCCAGTTGAGAGGAAAAACGATACGAGCTGAGATGTGTATACTATCCACTGGATACCTAAATAAATGTTCATTGAATGAATGATATTTTTTTTTTCCAATATTTCCATACTTTTTCTTATTATTCGCATTTATTAAATCGAAAGACCAGACAGAAAATACGAAAAAAAGTGGTGTGAATTAATTAACAATCTGGTGATGAAGCAGACGATAAGAGAGTAAAAAGAGTGTCAAGAGGGTTAAAAGAATTTTTTTTTCCGCTGAATAATGATCTACACAAGTGGCAATTCTCTCAAAGAGTCTATTCCGTTAACCTATTAACGACTTCCGGGTTTAAAAATGGTAATACTTATGGCAAAAATGGTTTACAACACTTGTACTAAGTGAATAACTGAATAATTAATTAACATAAATTCTACACTAATTAAGATAACATTTCAAAAATATTTTGTTTTATTATCATAACATTTAATATTTCTCATTGTCACAAGTCAATTGTTGTGGATTGATTAGGCGTACAGACTAGGTCAATGAAAGTAAAGAGGTTTAAGAAAGAAACAAATGAGCTTAACATATTTTGTGAATTATATTTAATAACATAATTGCAAACAAGCTGTACAAATGTACAATTTATAATTCAAAAATATATTGTTATATATACTCAATAATTCAATAAATTTGTTTCATGAATTATTTAACGGATTATCTCTTGAAAATTTGTATGATCGACGTGTCACAGTATTTAATTGAATCAATTACCCAAATCTTCAATATAATATGTTATGCTTTATTCTCTATAATTTGTGTCATCCTGATCTCGATATTAAAAATTTGATTTCAATTAATGCTAATTAATAAACAATCAAATATCATTGAATTGAAAAGTAAGTGGAATATAAAATGGAACCTTGATGGTATTTTTTGTTTGCAAATGTGGTTTAATATCTGAAATTTAATCGTGCCTTGTTTATTTAAATAATACTATTTTCCTCAAATTAGTTCTCAAGTTACGGAATAAATTAGCACTTAAGAAACGACAGTGATGAATGAACCATTGAGTTCACTTATACAATGGTCTTCAGCATTCAGCTGATATTACATACTTTCGTAATAATATTTTATTGCTAATGCTTAGCTGTTTATTAGTACACTAAACTCTCCATTTTAGTAATTACGATAATTTTAAGATCTAAAAGTAATTAACTTAATTGACTGGATAGTTGACACAGTTATTGATTTTCCAATCAACTTTTCTTATTTCGGTTCTTTTATCTAAAAAAAAAGTTTGCTCTTTTTATCAAAAAAAAAAGTGCTAACAGTTGCAAATCAAGTCTATTCAGTATAATACTTACTTAGCAGAAAATAAAAAAAAATACTCCAAACTTGTTTCATGAGTTAAATTGAAACAAAGTAACAAATTGAAGAAAAAAAGGGTGAAAGCCCTTGATAAAATTAGAATAAAACATTTAGAATACATCTAGAGATAAATATGATGATTGATCCAATTTATAATTTGAGTTACAAGCTTCAAGTGGACTGGATTTATCATCAAGTGTTGGAAATAAATAGACAACATTAGCGAAAATAGATTCTGCTATCGTTCCGCGAATATGAACTTGATAGAGGTGAAAGTAGAAACAAGAAGTGAACTTTTCTTAAGACAAATCTTAAAGAAAAAGTTAGCAAAAGAGCGCAGATGCGAGAGGAAATCAATGGTGTTATGAGTTCGTTGGCTAATTAAAGGGGTAAAGTCCGATCAACTGTCAGTAGCACGTGTGCTAGCTACAAAATCATGTAGAAATAATGACAAGTTGTACAGACGATGTAAAGGCTAATCAATAATGAGGTTTTTGTAAATCTCATTATAGGTACTGTTTTTAGAGGGGTTTGGAGTTCTAGTACAAGCCAACACAAGTCTACACGCAATCTAGCTATATGTACTATGAATGTTCGCTTTCCTGATGACTCATAACACGTTAGAATTATTATTGTTTAACCAATAACCGTAATACCTAGAACACCTAACATATTTTGATTAACAAATAGTATTCTAGAAAAATATTAATGTTCTTTTAAGTAATAAAAAACTTTATAGATAATTTTTTGATTGACAAAACACTCAATTAATTAACTATCAGGTGATCAACCTTAAAAAACCATGAATCACATGTTTACTGTAGCTTTTAGCTAATGTGATAAAAATGATTGAAATAAGAGGAAGTGAAACGTCAATGATGTGTTAGAGAAAAAGGTCACATATAAAAATGAGAACAGAGATACAACTTTTGACCTAAAGAAAGTTCTGAAGATTAATCAGAGGCTTTCTAACCTCCATTGACACTATTTTATAACAAATAATCCAAATATTATCATTCTTGATACACCAAATAATTAGTGTAACTAATAGGTTTTCTCCGATCTTTATTCTCCACTGAACACCGAAAAATCATTACAGCAAACAAGTGGAGATGCACATGATGACCTGGATTAGTTTCTCACTGAATTCTGACACAACTGATTATTCTAATAATTTTATTCCATTGTTAGTGGACTTTTGAATAGTATAAATATCATTTATAGAGATAATTTCAAGTGTAAATAATGTAAGAATATAGTTAGAACTTAGTAAAATAGGTAAGAGATTCCTTTCTGACGGGTTAACACCCACCTTGCCAATGGACCACTCCTTCGCGCTCGTTGTCCAAGAATTTTCTCCACAACAGTGACATTTCCACTCCTTGCTGCTTCCAGCAGCTCTTGATCCTTTCCCATGTCCCATTTACACGTTAAACACTGATCAAGACACACCTGAACAAGTCCTTGATTTTGATTTTACTACTATTACTCCAGTTTCATTGATCCAACGTAGCCATCTTAGCTCGACTGACCTGACGCCTCGCGTTGCTGAAACGAATTACTTATCCCCCTCTGTCCCCTCTGACACCGCAGCCGCCGATCAACGAAAGGGACAGCTGTTGCGTTCGTATATAATTAACGTTTGCATTCAAGTATTTACAACAATTAAATTGACTTAATTTTTATTATGTTCGCGATAATTCGAGTGCTTAATCATCGCAAAATGGTTGCCGTACTCGATTGTTATAATGAAACACTTTTTTATGGCTTTATATTTGTTTTATCCACTGTTTACTCCGTTTATGCAGAAGCGGGTAAGTCACATAACCTCTCAATTGAGTTTACTGTTGTCATTAATTTATTTGTTTTTATTAACCTAAAGAGTCGAACAATGACCGGCTACCTACATCTAACCACTTAGCTGCTTACACAAATATTTAAGAAATCACTAATTTTAACAAGATTTTATTTATAAATAATATACTATTTATTGCCTAAATGGTATTAATTAATAAACATGTTGAACTTCTTTTTTATATTTCTACCACATAACTTATCTTTAAGTTTAAAAGCTCTGGTATAATAAAACCAAAAAATTCTTAAAATTTTCTCAACTTTTAATTTTAATATTTACACACTGATTATTTTTTTTTATTGTATTTATGTAATAAAGTTCACTTATCATTTCAACTATGATTCAACAGTGCTGATAATACTTTATCATAATACACTAAATATAACAATAAATACTTTATTTATATTTATCATTTTATTTATCAACAATTATTTCCAACTTGTGCTGATAAATATTTTTATTATTGTATAATTTTAAAATTCCAGAGATTTCTGTAAATCTATCTTTAAAACATTACAACGATAGAAATAATATCAATGGGCGAGCATTTTTTAAATATGCTGAGTTGCATCCTTCTGACCCGACTATAATTCATATTGTGAACGTTTCTTCGGACGTTGCTTTCGTTATTGTGCAAGTTCATGCTCCAAAAAGGAATTTCACTCTGTTCATGTTTAATACTACTCATGAAGCGGCTACTTTTGGATCCAATGTAGGAGTATGCTTGACTCGACGATGATTGATTAAAAAAATATTCAATCTATTATTGATAATCATAATTCAATTCCAACAGCTTAGATAGCGGTAATAGTATACATTGAAGAAGGTAAGTAAACGAAAAGAAATGTACTTTCTAATCATATTTTAGATAGAAATCATTTTTTTTGTAATATCATCGGTGAACACGTTTTATAATTATTATCTTCAACAACGAAAAAAATTTTTTGGATTACGTCTTCTAGCTCTAATTTCAGAAGGATGTAATGAACAATCATCTGAAACTTGAATGAATTCCTTACCTTACAGTAGAAATAACTGATATATTTGCAATGATGAGTGCTCAACCAGTTTCTGCAAAATTTATTGGCTACCATTCATGTAACTTCTATCACTTATGAAATTTATCTCGATGCTTACAATGACTTTACTGACAAAACTCATTTTTCTACAATTTCAAAGATGCTCATCATTGATGACATAATTAAAAATGGAGGTATTTATGAATTAAATTAAACAATACTAATAAATCAGTTTTTATTTGAAATATTTACTTAATACTACAAGTAATATAACAAGTTATTAGTTATTTCTGATATCGTTTTTTTCCAGATTCCCCCATCAAATTTCATATTGATCTATAATAATAACTTTTATACATATCGTGGAGTTGGATCAGCATATGCCGTGATTGCAAAATACGGAAATTACTCAGCAGCATACATACCAATATTTTCTTATGGATGTGATCCAGTGTTTAACGAAGAATCCTGCTGTTTCTTGAGTAAATATCTCCTTCAATCAGAATTTCTTAATTATTATCATTATTCTTTTATTTGTTTTCATTAATAATACATAAAATATACATTTGTTTTCACATTACAGATTCAACAATGACTAAAGTTATATGCACAATTGTATTCTGTTGCGGAGTATTGCTAATAGTAGGCAAAAACTTTTCGAATGAGCCAATGAATGGTCATCAGTGTAGTCTGGAGAAGTTTAGTCAGTTATATAGCATTATGTGTTGTTGAAATAAATGACATCAATTGTGAGTAGTGTTTTTCAAACTTTTTTGTATCATTGAAAATGATTAAAACACACTGATAAAAAAAAAAAAATTTCCAGGGCTCTTAGGAGGATCGATTTTAATATAAAGTATTGTAATCACTATCATGTCGTGTATGGTGCCGTGTACTGGATACTTTCCATCAGTGACCACCTTGACTACATTGATAATTTGCATGTTACACTATGGAATGTCAGGCACGTACGATTATTTCATAGATTCTCCAGGAAATAACGGAGTTACGTAGCGGAAAGAAATATGATGACAGATAAGGCAGGGAGAGCAGTTGCAAATTATAGGAAAATAATGAAAGCCAGCTTAAAGCCAAAGGGGAATGAGAGGCTCACCCGCGCGCGCCCCGAAGTTAGTTCGACTTTAGTGAAGGGATGGAACATTTCGACTCGTTTCTCTCTTACCCCGCGGCTTCTATCAATGTTGTCCACTCATGTGGAAACTCTGCCAGCTCTGAACCCCTCCGCACAGAAGCAATGGGCATTTGTGTGCCTCTTTCGTCTTTCTCACCACAGCGCTACCCCTCGTGCACACGCACACGCTTATAAAAGTAAAAGGGTACCCCTCAACGCGCACGCACAAACTCCCACGGAAAGTCGTAACCAGCTTGAAAGATTCACATTTACCTAATTGTGTCCCTGTATTTATTTAGTGCAGAACTTATTTAGATTACACGCCCAGTACATGGACTATTGCATAAAGCATATCGAGCCCATATATGTAAAGACGAGTGTTAGCAATCACGATCAACAAGACCATAATTTATTCCGTGCTCTTTGAACTGTAATAATCCATGTCAATGCTCTAGATCATTTGACTATATATTTAAAAAACATTCCAATGAAAAATGTTTTCAATTTATCAACAATTTCTTATATCCAATCATGAATCATCTTATTAATAAGAAAGACTTTATGAATTTTTAATTCTGAAAAAATTTACGAATTCAAAAAAATCCATTATTTTATTAATATATACTTTAAAATTCAATCTATAATCTAATTTGAAAATTATTTTTATTTAGATAATAAAATAACATGGTGAAAAATACTTCTGACCATTCTTCTAGATGCGTATGACATTCCATTCATGCCAATACAACCAAATGAATGCTGAGCAATTTTTGGTTCAATTTCTATTATCTTTTCAACTGACTACTGGGCTGAATCTAGCTTGAAATATATTATAATTAATTACACTCAAAAATTGAACGATTAAAATGGAACGGTTACTTTACCACCAATCTAAAATGCAGGTAAATTTTACTTAATTATATCTTATTTAATTATGCTTCATAAAAATTTATTTTAGCAATATTACACGCTTTATTTGGTAACTTTACAGATAATATGACTGTATCATTTTAGAATTTTACTGATACTCTTGGCTCTTTGTTACAGGGAGAACTTAAACACACATACGAGCCTCCTTTCAGTAAACATTAGAAAAGGTTTTAAAGGTTCTGCACCTTTAATGAACAAATGGAATTTTTATAGGATCATTTTATTGTCTATCTACGCGTGTCTCTGTCTATTTGTCCGTCAAGGCGATCATTGACTTCCAGAATTTGTTAAATATTTAGCCAGAAATTTAAAAGTAAAGGAAAAAATTTTTAAATTAATCATTTCAAAATCAACGTGTTTAAATTGCATTTGTTCAATTTTGATTTAATCATTAATGAACGAGATTATTAAAAATTTTGAAATAAAATATGTATATCAACGAATTAAAGTTTGGCTGTGTTGGAAAAGATTAATTATAATTAAGATACATAAAGGAAGAGAAATTATTCATACAACGATAGAAAAGAAATTTCAATAGACATATTTTTAATAAAATAAAAAAGTGAAATATTTTAACTTACTTGAATATTTTTCTGACAAACACTTCAGTGAAAATAAATATTGAAATTTTTGAAAATTAGAATGAATATTAATACTAAAATATATGTTTAAATGTATATTGATGTTAAAATGTGTGTTTAAATGTATATTAATTGAATTAATAAACAGATAAAGTGACTTGAAAATTATTTTAAAATGAAATAACATTTATTGAATTAAGACAGTGACACCTAACAGTAGATCTATTTTCTACTACTTTACAATCTTAATTAAGGTAATCACAGCAACAATATTATCTTATTATTCACAACACTTACATAAATTACTGCCGCGAATATATATATATATATATATATATTTTATTTTCATTGATTTCATCGATAGATTTGTGTATACGCATACATTGTATTTTGTTTATAATTAGTACTACGAATAAAAGGAGTTAAATACCAATCCCTTGTTAATTTTTTGTAACAAAATGGGATGGTATAAAGTGAATACCACATCAAAACTTGTCAGAATAATTTAATTTAGTTATCTATTAGCCTTGTAACATTTCTCGTAATTTGTTCCGTGTGTGTTTTTTTTTTTATTTTTTTTCCAAAAATATAAATTTACGACTAATATACATTATTTCATGAATTTATTCTCTCTAATCTTTTCTGTTTTTTTTTATTAATACAATAAATTTTTTGTTGATAAATATCTTTAAGTCTGTTTAAACAAATAACTAATTCAGCTATTTTTGGGTTCCATTTCCGCAGTAATATGACCAATCGTATAAATATAAATGTCTAAAAAATTTTTATATGAATTAGAAAGAGGGAAGGAAAAAGGCTGACGATTTTTCTGAAACAGTTATTTGTTCGGTTTGACTTAGAATTTATGTCTTTATTTGGTACTATTTTCATATATATTTATGATTTATTATATCTATGATACACCTTGTAATATCGTGCCATTTATTTTTTAAATAACTACCTATTGACTGTGATTATGAGATCGAATAGACACTCTTTCCAACTGGTCATCTAAATTTACTTTATGAATGTTTATGAATATCTAAACCTGTTATTAATATCATGTTTAATGCAAAAATGTATTTATTATATTTTATTATTGTTTATTAATGTTTTTTTTTTTAATGGTTTGAGTGTCTGTTTAAAAATTATTAGTAATTAATTAATATTTTATATATTGCTAAGGTACGGTAGAAACATGAAAGGCTGTAGTATTTCTGGATTTATATTGAAAACTGCAGTTTATAGAGAATACTGTGCTATTGCTTCATCAAACTGTTCGATAATAATTAGTCATGTGAAATGGAATTCAAAAAAATCTGATTGATGGTTAAATGTTGACAAGTATTTTTATATGCATTTGTGTTTATTTTCTACAATTTGTCAGGATGTTATGTATGAGATTATAAGGGTACTTTTGACTGAATTTGCTTTTTTATGTTATTATCTACAATCATACATTTGAACATAATTAGGATTATCATTCATGCGTATTTACAATAATAATGCGACTAATATTTATATATATTATCTACTAACAAGAGTAACAAAGTTCTATTTTACATCAGTTTTATACATTATCTATGTTTAATAACTAAATTTTTTGACATAGAAGTGTGGTATCTAGATCTAAGATCAAGAATACTACTTACTTCTTGTACTCATTAATCAACTTTATCGTAAAAAACTTCATTCAAGATTGTAGTTTGATACATTCACGCCTTGTTTTTATTTTTTCTTCAACATAATTTCTTAATGCAAGCGTTTATCAAACAAATAAATTTGCTGATAACATATAAATGTACACATTAAAATCTATTTATTGTATTAAACACTGCAATTCTAAGCATTTTTTATTCAGTGTTTGGAGTGTATGTTATTGACATTTAATTCTTTTTATAAAATAAAATAAAAAATTGTTTAATAATCAAGTATCAAATGAGAGCGAGTATAAAATTACTACTAATAAAAATGAATTGGAATCATTTGAATAAGTCTTTTTAAAAAACATACTTTTATCAAACACTTGTGCTCTTTAAAGTTGCAGTGAAGGTAACTTGTTTACAGAGTAATCCAGAGAATAAATATAACAAAAACAAGCATTTCAATATAAAAATGTACGCATATAACTGATAGTTTTGGTTGTACGACGCCATATCTCTAGACGAATACGATGGCCGACCCTAAGAAATTCACCCTCGTAGTTATCAGACGCTCCCTTCATTCCACCACCCAAAAACAGCTCATCACCCCAGCAAACCTCGCGAGAATACCACCAGTCGTCGTTAAAAAACGTCGGATCTTCTTCTTTTCTATTCTTTTTATCCTTACCCTCTTCTACTCATTCATCCTCCCACTACCCTACTATCCCTTCACTACTTGCAATTACCATACTGCACTGACGTTAGATTTGGTACAATCGATCTTTTAAAAGACTTTCTTCGACTAAATTTTTCATTTTAGTGATTTTTATCTGATAAAATTATTTTCACGATATTTTTGTATCGGAAATTACTTTTATGACGTTATTATTTAAAATTTAAATGAGTGAACTGTGGTGTATTAACCCTTAATTTAGCTTTAATATTTCTTTGATTTACAACATTACAAAGGTTGATAACATGATTAAGAGTAGGTATCCAAACAAAAAGATGCCTACAAATTGGTCTGAAGATTGTTTTGATTTAAAATATTATTAAATGTTGAATTAATAATAAAACTGCCTGGATTCTCTGCTATTTTTTTTACAAAAAATTTAAAAAAAAAAAGGAGTTACCTAAATTAAGGGTTAATTAAAAGTAAAAAAAGAATCTAAAACTTGTAAGCTAAATATCCAAGTACACAACCCTGCATGATCCGGATACTTTTGTTCAGTTTGTTGCAAAGTTTTCAGGCCGAGAGAGTAAGATAAAGAGTTCAAGTTGATGTTGAATTGTCAAATGAAAAACTGAGAATTTGTCCCAGTAGCTTGTAATACATTCACTCACTGGCGTCTGATGTGTTGACTGGTGTTGTTGAAGGTGTACTAGTTTGATGTATGGTGGAAGATGGTGGTGGTGGTGGTTGCGTGGATATTCCTAGCGAAGCTAAAAGTGGCCGAGCAACCGTTCCAGGTGTTGAAGGTGGGCTCTCCTGGCCAACGAGAAGACTCGCAGGCGGGAACCCGAAGAGCTGGGATCACTGAAGCCGTGGCCAATAGTTACTTGTTAGGTCTGGAGTTTGAGATGGAATCTGAACTGGTACTGATACTCCTGCTGATATCACTCCTGTAATAAAAAATAACCATCACATTTTACATCAAATGATTCATGTTATTTTATAGATATTTAATGATAGAAATGACATAATCATGAATAATCAAAGAATGAAAACAATTGAAACTTGAACTATTGAATAAATTAAGTTGAAATATCAGTTTACAATTTCTTTACATTCTACTTAAGCCGTTGACGTTTATCTTCAAAAGTGCATGAATTATGTGACTTGGATTAACAGTGTAAGCGTTTAGCAAACAAGTGAAAGTTACTCGTATCAGCGATATGAGCAGTAAAGTGAATGTAATAAACTTAGCACAGTAGAAGAAGCTTTTTAACAAAAATCAACGGAATTGATATAAATACCAAACCACAATACCAAAGATATTTATATTCTCCATGATTAAATGCACATTCAAGTCTATGCTGTTTTCTACAATCGCATTATAAAAGTGGGCTGAATGAAAAATGGATATACGTATCATCAGATGTAGGAATACTTTTATACCACCATTCCAACGGTGTCTCAACTCCATTTCTGTAGGTATTCTATGGAACGCTATGGTCCCTATTTCCTCCCCTTTGGGTTCGCACGTTATTGAGCGCTCGCCCAGCCGAGGCGAGACCCAACCCATCCACATCCTCCGTTCACCCCTACATTAAGGGAAGGAGAGGCTGATGGTTTACCCTCTCCGCGGCTTTCGTTAAACGCGCCAGGCGGAGAGGCGCCGCCGGGAAAAGAGAGAAATATCAGAGAAAAGTAGGGAGGGAAACACTCAGTGAGAATCGAGGAAAATGGAAAATTCACCAGAGGCAACAGAAAACCACCGAACATCCCATTCTTCGATTCAGCCCACGGCACCCATGCGAGATTTGTTTTAAAATCCTTTTACAATTCCGGCCGCTTGCGTACGTTTTTGCTTCTCTTGTATACATATATATCTACGTGTTCTCTCCAAACCAATCCGAATCTAGATGCAGATTGCGTGCGAAGAGTGTTCTCTCATTTTATTTACCACTCTGCTTCCTTTCTATGTATAACAGTAATCCTTGTACGCAACGCGTTTTATTTGTCGACATATATTGTCTATACCACTCATCAGTTTGCCCAGAAACGTACGTGCGGTTCAAAGAGTTTTTTGTTCTCAACTACTTCTACTGAACTCATTCCATATCAAACTGCTGGTTGGATTTTTCAACAGTGGTTGATGTACGACCACTGAAACTCTGGTTATAGAGGACTGTGTCAATTATTTATTTCTTTAGGGGGACATTCCTTAGATTCTTTCACGTGTGTAGTTATTTTCAATTTGGCTTCTGTTTCGAGGTATAAAAGAATATAGCACAGGAAAAAAGATTTATTTTGAACTTCTTGATGGGTTTGCTTCTGTTCAATAAATTTCAACGATTCTATAGAACTAAAAAGATACAGAATTTTATTGTTTTATGGTGGTTGGAAAAAAATGTCTGTTTTAGAATTTTTACTTGGAATTTATTTTTTAATACAAGTATTGCTTTATTTATATTTATTTAAATAATAAAAATAACAATAATTATTTAATATTTCAATAATTTCCTGATGATTCAACACACTAATATTTATTGATTTGATAAATATTTAAATAAATTGTAAAAACAAAGTATGAAAATAACTTTTCGTTGATGTCTTTGATGTAGAAGAACCTTTAAGCTAATATTTTCATGATTATGTAATGTAATATTGGATTTTTTAAACTAAGTTTTGAAAATTTAATTTTTTTTAATTATTATTTAAAAAAAAATTTCGAGAAAATGATGAAAACATTTTAATGTTTATGATGATATAATCTATTCAACTTTGTAACATAAAAATAAATGTTACAATTAATCCAAGCGAAAAAAAATAAGTAATTTGGCACCCACAGCCGGATCAACAAAATATGCATAACGAGGATTTTTCTCCTCTAACTAAATACTAGGATGAAGGAAAAAAAAATTATCCGCATCTGGCGCATTAACATTTTCTGTACAACTTTGTCGCTTTTCTGTATGAAATGAGAAGGTTTTTTTCTGAATGTAACTACGAGATGTATGTTAAGGATTTTTGTCTAATGACCCACCTGTTTAGTTTCTAACATTTTGAACAAAAAGAATTTAATCTCCACATTGGATACCGACTTCATCATTTAATTATTTTTTTACAGCTTAAACTCTTCTACAAAAAAAATCTTCCAAATTCGAAACTTGAAAAAACAAAATTTGTTTTCAATTAAACTAAAAAAACAAAAAAAAAAAAAGATGAAATTAAAATGAAATAAAAACAGACAGGAGCATTTGTATTCATGATTAAACAGCATGTAAGTGTTATCAAGTAGCGATGTCAAGTCAATTAAAAAAGATTGAATTCCTACCAGTCGCAGTAGAAGTCGTGGGTTGGTATGGTGTCCCTCCTGGAGCTCCTGGTTGACCCCCTGGTGTGCTCGGTGTTCCACCATGGGAGGTCGGTATGCCACGATGGGGTTGCGAATGTGCTGCAGTTGTGTGAGCATGAGAATAAGATTGCGTCAACGAGTGCAGAGGTTCGTGAAATACATATGCTGGATACCCTTCAGCTCGTTGTTGAAGACAACTACTTCCCATTGATCCACCCAAACTACTAGTCATTGAGCTGAAACAACATTTTCCCATTTTAACATCAAGAAAAACAATTATCACAATTTCATGAATATTCTACAATCTCCCAAACATCATCTATCACTTGAATGAAACATATTTATCTCTTTGAAACATAATGGCTGATTTAATTGTTAAATGTGTTAATCATAAGAATTATTCTTTTTACCCATAAGTATCAGGCATAGTGGCAATTGGTTGTGGTATTGAGGAATACATGGCATTAAAACCAGCATTTAGAGGTATCCGAGGTGTTGCAGGTGTAGCTGCAGGTGGAGCAACACCACTTCCTGCCCCTCCAGTAGCAGCACCACCAACAACTTGATCAACAGCAGCTCTTCGTTGATTACGTAATTTTTCTTCTCTTCGCCATTTTGCCCTGCGATTACTGAACCAAACCTGCAAGTAAACCAATAATTTACCCTAAGAAAGTTGCTAATACTTGTTTGGGAAATAAAACAACAGTCACACTTCATTCATTCCTCCAACCATACTAATTTTAACGACAGACCACGAAAGCTAGTAGTAATGATCGAGTTTAGCCAGCCGATTCCTACCTACTTACTTTTTGTAATCTTAGTCCGACTACTAGAAGACTGCTATTGGAGTCAATGTGTTGTTTTGCGGTGTCTAAATAAGTGTAATGAGTGATGTTTTGAAGAATCATTTTCTGGATCTGATGGAGAGAAGGTTGGTTGTTATTATCACTTGAAGACTTTCAGCCATTTCACATGAGATACTCGATGATAATCGCATGGTACCCTAGGGTGGTTTGTGCGTTGTGGTGAATTGGCAAGTAGTAGTAATATAGGAAGGTAGAAAAGCAGAAGCGGCCAATCAGAGGGCAACCTCCCCGGGGACGCGACGTTGCCATGGTTGCGTCCGAACCCTCTTAGGCCTTTCTGTTGGATCCCTCACTCAAGCTTCGCTTCACTCCCTTTCCTTGTCTCTTTTCTTATCATCTTGTACTCCCTCAGTCAATATACAAAAACCTTTTTATCTCCACAGCATTTCCCTCCACCAGTTTTTTAACAATTCCATCCACGAACTTGATGAAATAAGCGTGAAACAGCCACGTGCAATTGATCGTGTGTAAATCTCAGGTAAAAAGTAGTACTTTGCTTCCAGTTCTGACCTCTTGTCTTTCACTCTCTCTTTCTATTCTATCATCAAGTCCACTCGTTTGTTCGCTTTCATCCTCTCTCTGTTCCTCTCTCGCACCAGTTCTCCCGGTTTCCTGCACTTAGCAAGATCAATACCAGCCAACGAGGCTTGAAAACATGCGTCAACATGGTCTTGCACTGTTTGTACGTCCACATAACGCTTCGACCGACCCACACCGACTTCATCCCTTTGCAACCACGGCCAATCCTCTACCTGCTCTGCTCTCCAGCTAGCCTTTATTCTCTCTCACTCATCATCCCTCTGACCACTTCGTACTCTTCGTCGGCAGGATGAGAACTCGCGCAACGTTCAAACAATGTCCGACAAGTCTGCGTACATATTAGCTTCCATTCATCGTACGTCACCTCATGACGGCTATCATAGCCTATCAATGTAAATGGTTATGCATCCAAAACATGAAAATGGTATTATTTAGCATCATGTAAGCATTCATTGGTTTCATCATGTTTCACACCACGTGGCTCTTCAGGTTGTTGAGATTTTCTTTTTGTCACCAACTTACGGACGATTAGATATTGGAAGAGCTCAATACGAATCGTTGTTAGCGTCACTTGGTGAAGAAGGTTAAAGAAAGAAGAGAGCCAAGAGTAAAAAAAAAGTTAAAAGAAATAAGTCCAGTAAAGACCTTGGCACTAGCTTGAACAGAGCTTGAACGTTGGAGACACGCCCCACACTCTCGCACACATTCACACTCACCTGGATACGTGCCTCAGGCAATCCAATCTTCTCGGCGAGACGCTCCCGCGCAAACACGTCCGGATAATGTGTCCGCTCGAATTCTGTAATGTACAACATTGCAACAAGTGCACGTCATTAGTCTATTTCGTGGTACTTATTAAAATTATTTATGTATATTTAATGAAATGAATACACATTTAAATATTCATGAGAATCAAATTTGGATTTATTGGTAAAATGAGACAACAACAGAGAGGTTCCAAACAAAAGTGAATTGGTTAGATCGATTTTGGCATGCTGAACGTTTATTTTACATCAACACCCCTTGATTAGATTTTTTTTTGCAGAAAAAAATTTTTACTACCCAAATAAAAATAGAGAATAGATTGTTCAGTCCAATACTTTTCATTCTTTTTTTCTTTCTATTTAAATAAATTTATGATTTTTTGCAAATTGAATTAAGGTATTTCGTTCGAGATTAATGTTTTCTTAGAATTATTTTTTAATAAATTTAAATTAAAGATTATTAAAAAATAAAACGTTTATTTTAATGAAAAAAAATTCACCGTTTAGAACTCGAGTTATTTGAAACCAAAGATCACTCTTTTCTTTATCTAAATCAATAATAATTGACTACAAGATTAGTTTTTTAACTTTCATTAAAAAAACGGTTCTTTAAATTTTCATAAACAAAATTATACAATGCCAATGCATTTATTATAAATATTTTATCTATTATTAATAATTTTAGTTTTAACTTTCTTATAAAATAGGTATTTACCTTCTTTTTTTTGTGTTTTTCTGAATAATGAAACACTAATTAATCAAGATGCAGAAAGCTAGTGTGTATATTTTATAAAAAAAAATTAATTTTATTCCAAAGGGCCTTGGGTCTTTTTTTTGATACGGCCCAGAGCGAGCGAAATACCTTAATGACTAATCGTGTCATGTAAAAATTTGATTGAAAATATGACTTAAAATATTTTTTCTTTTACTTTAAAATAAGATTATATATAAGTTTTTTTTTTTTTAAATTCCAACATTCAAGAAACGAAGTAAGATGAAAGGTGCTAACTAAATGAAGCAGAAAAAAACATTAAATGTACCTTTCTCGAGAGCGTCGATCTGCTCGTTTGAGAATGACGTGCGATTACGTTGGAGTTTGCGCTTCAACCTCAGCCGCACCTGAGAGTCTTCATCTCCAGAGGAATTGTGTTCAGAATTACCATCTGACGTTGTTTCTTGTTGATGTGACAACAATGATCCAGCATCTACAATAAAGAACAAATAAACATCAATATACAACATGTAAATTAGTCTATACGTTATTTGTAATCCGAGATTAAACTAAATATTTTAATTAAAAAAACAAAAAGTATATCAACAAATATTTTTGTTGTCTATCATCCTTGTTAAATAAATAAATTGAATAATATTTTTTTGGCTGATCGAATTAAGATATTTCCCCTTGGAATAATCTTGTGGGAAAACTAATGTCAACATTCATCTATTAACAGATCGGTGACCACCATTAATCATCATTTTATATCAATTATTCGTCTTGTGATAATTTATTATAACATTTGGGGGTAAACAAATGTTCTAGTCATTGCTTGAAAATGACCTGGAAATGTCTGTATTTTTATAACTCACTAAAAATTTCTTTTCTCTTCAACAAATTTACAAAATCTAGAAAGTAGAATAGCCAGACTTTGTTCCGACATTTTATTAATCACTAAAAACAATTAAAAAAATTATTTTATACCATTGGAAATATTTGTGATTGTTTCCAAATAATATATTTCATCTCAATCAACCCAATCTCAATCAAACTTAATCTTTTTTTCTACAAAAAACAATTTTCCCTCAAATAGAAATATAATTTATATGATTTTTTCAAATGTGGATATTTCTTTCTTAATTATAAAATTGATTAAAAAAGAAATTTCGTAATAAAATCAATAGCAAGAACCGTTTAAAGTTCCAACAAGTTCATCAGCTTTCAAGATATCTCGAAAAAAATGAGAGTAACATCCTCTAATACACACACACACACACACATACTTTTGAAATATTTTTTTTTCACATGAGCTTCTAGACGAATGAGCACTAGTTGCAGACACGTAGGTGCAAAGAGACATCGATGATGACGTAAAACAGCCAACATGTATAGATATTCATATATAGGTATGGGAAATAGGTACATAGAGCTGCACATACTGGATAGCATCCCCAAGGGCTACAATTATCTTCCGCCTCCGCGCACCGAACCCTCGGTTTTCTCTCTATACATCTCTCTCCCTTCGTTTCCTCGGTTCTCTCAACTATAGCGTTCGTTTATCTGGCCGTCAGCTGCTCGCTTTCTTGCTCGTTCACCCTCATCGCCTCCAACGGACACTACCCTCTCTCAATCCTACCCTTTCCTCATCTTCTCTGTACTCATCCCTCGTTCAAAGCTCCTCACGAAATACCAGCACCCTCGTTCCTCTGCTCTACGAGACACACTTGACGGCGCATGTACACGTTCGTGACACCAAAGTGTTTGTATGTGTGTACAAAAGCTTCTATCCTATACGCCTCAACACCCTACATCGCGTAACTAGCAAAACTAGTCGGATCATGGGGACGTCTCAATTGCAGTTTGTCCAATTGCACTCAATTCCATCCTTGCGTGTTTCCTGCCTCTTCCCTTTTCATTATCCATTCTCTAGGAAAGAAAGAGTTAATTGAAATGTCCAGAAGTACAACGACTGTTAACCTTTCCAAAAAACCTACCAGTCTTTTAAGTGCCTGTTTATTTCATTTTTTATTATCTTTTTTTTTCTCTATCGTTTGGTGTTTATCTTCTATTTTTTATTTATAGATGAAAGAAAAAGAAAATCGATTGGAAGAATTATTTGCTTGATTCATCACAAAGAAGTTTTTTTTTTCATAAAATATTATTTGAAGAGAGAGTTTGTAAATATTTGAAGTAAAGATATTTTTGTTGATGGTGAAATTTATTGAGTATTCAATTTTTAATTTAAATAAAATTTTGTTGCGAATGAAAATTAATATTTTATAGAGTTTAAAGAATAATTATTTTTATATGTTCATCAAAAATGTGAAGTTAAAATAATTTTTATTTATAAATAATCTGATTTATATTAAAAATTTTCAAGTTTAATTACTCTGTATTTAATTGATCAATGGAACATTTTTGTCTTTTCTCACCCACCCTTCGTTATAGAGAGAACATTTCATAGCATGGTAATCTGCCTATTGAACGAGGCACCGACGCATCTGGAATCGTCATCTGCGGGCCAATCTGCGCCCGCAATCTGAGTCGCTTGAATGACTCCGGTGATCCTATTATAAGCGCACAGACTTAATGTATAGAAGACGATAAAATTGAAAGAGAGAATGAGAGATTCTCTCTCATATTTTCGCTCGTATAAATGTTCTGTGTTGAGGTAAGACTCTTGGATTTGATCTGAGACATGTCTTCAAGGAGACTTAGCTTTTATAATGCACACGTTGCATCATGTCCATGAATTAAAATAAAAATATATATAAGATGAGATTTTTGACATCAACACGAAAATACCTCGACTTGGACTTGTGGGTGAGAAAAGTTGGATATAAATCAAGAAGGAAGTGCCAAGTGCTGCACTCGAGTTGAAGAAGGATTAGGACTAGTTTAAAATTTTGACAAAAGAGAAATAAAGTTAGTGGGAAAAAGCCATTGGGGTGTCGGATTTATAAAATACCATAAGCAAAAGCTATTTTTGAAAAGAAAATAAATCTCTAGAGATGAAGTTATATTTTGATGGGAGTTTTGAAGAAAAATTAAACATATAAATTTGATGTGTTTCAAAACTTTGAATTTTTTCCAAAGTATTTCAGTAATAGTATCAACAAAAAATGCCTATTTATTTTTTATAGTGTAAATAAAAACTATTTGGAAAATTAAGGTAGTATTGGGGCCATTATTTACCAGATCGTTTGAGCAGAGAATCATCACGACCATGAAGTTGACCACCAGGTAAGAGAGACTGACCAGTTCCAGGTGTAACAGTTGTAGGTATTCCTGTAGCTAGAGGATGATGTGATGGTGTTGCTGAATACCATGCTGGTGGCCATCCTGTTGCTTGCCCATTAAACATCCTCAACTTATCGTAGACACTTTCAGCACCCTGATGCGCCTGTACAGCCGCTGCCTGTTGCTCTTTCTGCGAGGCCAAGTTTCTAAGCACCCTGTTGATGGAGGACACCTGGATGACAAATAGAAGCAAACATTTTTAATCATCCCACTTAATCTATTCATGTTTTTGTAATTTTATCAAGATTGGACGAAATTCAGTAAGAAAAGATTTCATCAAAGTATTTATTCCTGATAACAATGAGAAAATTTATAGAATAAAGCTTTTTTCAAAGATAATTGTTGGGAATCACAATATATCTGTGGTACATTTTCTGAAAGAATTTTCAAGAACAAGAGCAAAGGATGAGACTATTTCCGAATAGTTATTCAGAAAGACAGACGTAAGGTTATTTGAGGGAGAGCCAGTAGGATGAAAGGACACCGCCATCCAATTATTATATAAAACGCTTTCCCCAGTTTCCCTTTCTCTATTTTTTTGCCGTTCTTTGTCATGCTTTCTCAATGTCCTCCTGTCACCCAAGAGTCACGGTACGTTCAGTTACTCTCAAGTTATAACGAGATGTATCTCTCTATGTCCCTACCTACTCGACCAACATAATGGGTAACATACACGCTTTGTCATTCAAATACAATCATTAATAGATTTTTCTCTGGATAAATTCTCTACTGTGTCAATATTTTTGGAGTAATCTCCTACATCTGTTCTTGATCAAATCATCAAATAGATATGCAATTTTTTTCTTGTAGTAAATATTAAAGAAAACATGTAAAACATTGAAATAAACATTAATTTTCTGCATCAAAACAGCAAAAATTGTTTTTTTTTCTTCAATAAAAAAAAATGATAGATTTTTAAAATCATTGCGTATCCATGAAAAGTCTAGTGTTTAGTAATAAAACGTTTAAAGTGTTTAATAATAAAACATCCAAGTGTTAACAATGTTAAACGCCATAAACCACAGCATATTGGTAAACGGCAAGAAGCGTTTAAAATTCGTCTACAAAATTACTATAGTTTGTTTATGACGTTTAATATTGTAAACACTTTAGAGGTTTAGTCTCTAAACACTTAGATTTCCAGTGATACAATAATGAAAAAATTATTTAACTAATATAAATATTTTTATTGAATTAGTAATAAAAAAAATAAATTTTTAATCTAAGCACATGATCAAGTGAATCATTCCTTACTATTTTTTACAAAAATTAATTAGAGTTAAAGCAATAACATGAGTCAGTTGGATTGAATTTTTTAATACTGATTCATAAATTTGATCATAAATAAATAAAATATTTTTTCAAACATATTCTAAAGTTCATTACAATGATCTAAAACTTTTTAAAACCAACTAAAAAAAAAAAGAAATCCATTAGAATAATTATTCAGATAATAAAATGTTCGTGTCAATATGATGTTGAACAAAAGTAAATGAAAATTTAATGAAGACTTTAAAATCACTAGAAATTGATTTGGGTACATCGTACCCGCGAAATAACCCTGGGGGGTTGACTGAGCGCGTGGATGCCGACTTGAAGGTTCAATATACTAACGTAAAAGCAGTAGTAAGCCTCTCTTACTTCTGCACCCTCTGTGGCAGTCACTGGTCCGCCGCACAACAGCCGCAGCACCGATGCAGACCATTACACGCGCGACCAAACACGAATAATTGTGCAACACGCTTAACTGATCCCATTCAAACTGATTCTCTACCCGCTTTCCGTCATTCGCCCCCGGTAGTCTGAGGCACCCTAGCCAGAATGATAGACTCGAGCAAGTTAGGGCGATCAGTTCAGTTGCAGACAGCTCATATGGTTGCTAGTGTCAAAAGACTAACATGGTACATGCAAGATTTTCGAGCTACAGGATATGCTAAATTTGTCAAAATATCTGATATTAATGCTTCCACTATTGAATGAATAATCAACTGTTGGTTCTGTAAAGAGCTTTTTTTTTTTTTTAAATTGCTTTTCATAACTTGATCGAAATATTTCATTTTTGGACTAAAAGACAATTACAATGTTTTACCAAAATGTAAAAAGGTGGAATAATGGTGATGGATTTTTAGTATTTTTATTTAAATGAAATTCAATTGAGATTGATTTTTAAAATTGTAAAAATTGTTGTTCAAAGTATTATACATGACATAAAAGCTCTATAATACGTATCAAGCTTTTTGAAAGTTTAATAGACTTTTTTTTAAATTAAAAACCAATTTTTCTTATAAACACCTATTCTTGAGCTTAATAAAAATATCTCTGATTTATTTATTATAAAAAATTATGTAATAATTATTTTTAAACTAAGAGTCTAGTGTATTCCTAATATGCATCAACCTTATTTGAATGTTCATCCATCTATTAAAAATCCTCCCAATCATTTGGATAATTTTGATCATCGCAGACAATTCCTAATGGCCTACTTCCGGAACTGTCACAGTTGTTTTTTTTAGGACATCCGATTGATCAAATGTCCCTTTTTTCTTTTAAGCTACCGGTGGATAACGACACATACGCGTGCCAATCTTCTTCAACAGACATCTAAAGATAGGGTGGCCTTTACTACCCCCCTATCCGGTCGTCTCATACTGCAATCCCAGTAAGCTTCTCTAATCCCTCGGTCATCTCAATACGTGTGTGTAACGATCGTGACCTCGGCGTTCCATTGCGTGTCCTGAGGTCTTGGGATGTAATGATGGCCAGGATGTTTGAAGAAAAATCTTAGGGGATGAACAGTAGGAGGGTGGACATCGTCGACTTCACGTAATGGAGCGATTACCCCTACTCAAACTATCGAATTGACGAGACTTTGATTAGGGTCGAGTGGTTAGATCCGACGGGTAAGTGCCTGCCCCTGTGTCTGACTCTGATGTTCATTCTCTACTTTCATCTTTGTTCTAATGGACATTGCCACAAATAACCTAAAGATTTATATTTCATTCTAGTGCCTTAGTTCTTAACTCATGCTCACTATTGCATTAAGCACTGAGCTTTAACTGCCGATCTATTTGATAAGGATTTAATTATTTTATACTTATGTTATTTTTCTTTGGTGCATGGATTTTATGTGATTGTTGCATGCATTGTATTAATCAAGATCATGGAGTATTAGTTTGGCATAAAATGTACTTTGAAATAAAAATTTGATGTTTTATGATCCTTTTGAAGAACATTTTTAAAATTAAAAGAATTTTTTTGTGAGAAAAAATTAAAAATGAAGCTTTTTTTCCGAATTTTAATGCAATTTTATAAGATTTTTATTAAGTTTAAGAGAAAATATTCAAAGAAAACATTTAAAAAGTTTAACATCAACAAGAAAAGTTCTGAAAAATGTTTTTTAATATTCAAATGAGTTTCTGCAGTAATTCTAAAATATTGAAGTTCATTTTTTTTTTTTTTCATCAATAGATTGAATTAACTCCATCCACTTCATTTTTTTCTATAGCTTTATTGTTATAAAAATTCCTCAACTTTGCTGTCAAAAAATCAATATAAATGATTTAAATTAATATCGAAGAAATAAAGGATGGATATTATTTACAATAAAAAGAATAAAAATAAATAAATAATATTTACTCACACTAGGAATATTGTCATTGTTGCAAACGCCTTCCTGAAGCAACCGATCACGAATTTCCCAGGCGAAAATTGATGGACATTCACGCTTGTAGTCAGCAATTTTATTTACCACCGGAGTTGTTGCAACGCGTGGTTTACTGCCGCCAATCGCTCGAGGTTTTATCGATCCAGTTTCATAATATCTATATAACAAAAGATAAATTAAAATAATTTATATTATCAAAAAAACTAAATATATTTTCAGTCTCCATTCACTCTATTGTCTACTGTAAATTAAAATTTACTACTGAAAACATAGTATTTACTTTGTTTCAAGGTTTAAACAATTATAATAAAAATTTTTAAACATCATTAGAGATAATTATAATTAATTTAATGACAACAAATTGTTTGATACATATGAAACAATGACTAGGGTATAATATTTTTACAGAACACTTGCACAAAATTTATGCTTCAGTAATAATAACATTCCTATACTGTGAATCCAGGAAAATTCGAGTGTTTAATAATAAAACGTTTAAAGTGTTTAATAATAAAAAACCCTGATTGTTAATAATGTTAAACAAAATAAACAAACTATAACATTTTGGTAAAGAGGCGTTTAAAATTAGTCCACAAAATTGCTATAGTTGGTTTATGGCGTTGAACATTATAAACACTTTAAGTGTTTAGTTCTTGAACACTTGGATTTGTAGTGAGGTTTATTATGAAGCCAATAATTACTGAAGCTTCTTCTTTTCATACAAGTGTCCTTTTTGAAAATTATTCTAGATTTGATGCTGAATTAAATAGATCAACAAAGAATGTGTACACAATAGTATTTCAAAACTTATTATGTAAAATAGGGAATTAAATCACGATTGTAAATAACTGATTTACGAATGACCAATATACATAATGTCCAACTAATTTTAGTCCAGTCAATACAAGATTAACATAGAAAAGTTTCTTTTAAATTAATTTTTATTTATCAACAATTTTGTGATCATTTATTTATTTATTTCGTATTAATAAATAATAATATTTTAAATAATGTATAAAATTGAAGATATAACTTTTTCAGAGATCACAATTTGTATCTATAACTTAACTTCTTCCGGATCTATACAATTAAACTGACTACAACTATAAAAACGATTTATCTTCAAGATAAATGAATGCCTTAAAGAAATACTGCAACAAGAAGGGAATGTTCCGCTCTCTAAGTAATCTATTTTAATCCAAATAAATACCAGTTTTTGTAATAAATAATTTTATTTATCAAAACAATTTGTTCTTTAAGAAATCAATTTGTTTAATTCGCAAAAAAGACTAGAATTAAATATTTAATTATTTTATTTTTAAAAGGAAATGAAGATAAGAGGGTAAAAAGTTGTTGGAGAAGAAAGAGAGTGTAAAATACATACCTCCCAAGGATTTTGGAGACACATCCATTGCTGACTTGGAGTATGCGCGAAATGTCACACGGTCTCGCACCGCTATGTGCCAATTCCACGATCTTTTGCCTCGTCGAGTCCGGCAATGGTCGGCCATTAACGTAAACGCCACCAAGCTGGTTGACCCCACTGTGTCCTGCAGCCGAGCACCCAAATATTGAGTTCTGACCGACCATAGAACCCCCGCCAATACCCGGACCGCCCCCGTGCATCAAATCCTCCTCTGTGAATCAGAACGACGAGTTTAATCTGTCACTTAGTCGATTACCAATGACAAGCACGGACGTGCTACCAGTCTATATAACTTGCATACAAATAATCTCAATATATTACCAATTATTTTGATACGAATCCTATTCATGATATATTCACATCTCCCTTTAATTCAATCTCTTTTTAGATTTCATTGTTGTTTTCCCAACAGTGACTTTATGATGTCTAGCATTTCATTTTTTCTTTTATTGCCTAATGCTATTACACGATTCAAGGGAAAGAAGTAACGTTGTTATAAATGAAAGAATTGAAGAAAATGTCGCTCATTGAAGCAACTTGAGAAGAATCAACGTTAAATGTACCTTGCAATTAATGAATTTAATTAATCTTGCTTGCGACGACCTACTTCTGTTTGCAAGACGACGTCGTCAGTAATGTAATTCAAAGCTTTCAGTTGAAGGCATGTATCTGACAATGAAACAAGCAAATAAGCAAGAAAATCATCTTTTGACTGAACACTTGGTAATTCAGTCAAAATTGTCTTCGTTTATGTTTAAATATCTTTTATGCTTGTATTCGCTTTTATTCTTGTTTGTTTGAATATTAATCATGATGGTTAAGGCAGGTTTGTATAATTTAAATTGTTCGATTGAATTGACAGGAATGTTTATCTTAAATCGAGTATAAATGCCAGAGAGAATTCTCGCAATGATTTTTCATTTATTTTATAGCTCATTTGTGTTTGGGAAAAATGGACGACAGCTTGGATTTTTAATGAGGTTTATCGGTATGCTATTTTTAAAATGTTATTTTTAATGTTTCAATCGATTATATTTATTTTTAAAATAGTGATTGAGATTATTAATAAAATCATGTTTCAGTATGTCAAAAAATTGGTAATATTTCTTTGATAGAATTTCATGCAGTCGAATGATTCTATTTATATTAAAATTAAGAATATTCTTTTTTAGGATTCTGAAAAAGAAAAGTTGTTTTTTATTACTTTAGAATAATTGTTCAAAAATCATTTAAATATTTTTATTATAAAAAAATTAAATAATAAATTAATATAAGAAAACAATTCAACTTTTAATTTTGTTTTAATAATATTAAAGTAACACTTGTATAAATAAATGATGTAATTTTGTGTACCTTAAAGTGTATAAAAAGGACTAAAAAATGTAGTTAATGTATAGAATTTTAACATTTAATACACTTTATTTTAATACACATATATTTTCCATGAATTAAGAGTAAAATAATTGAAAAGAGATAAATGATTTCATTTGCAATATTTCAATAATTTTTAATCAAAGTGAGGTTCTTCAAATATTAATTTGCTTTATTCAAAGTAAATAAAAGCTATTAATAATAAATTAATTCTCTTCGATGTACTCAAAAATAATTGTTTTACAAAAAAAAATTGGAAAAAAGTATATTCAAACAAATATTGATTTATAAAATCGATTTTAAATTAAAAAAAGAATGAAACTTTTTTCAATTAACATATATATATATGTATACACTTATTCTGTTAAAATAATGACAACAAACACCCGAAAGCAATTAATCCCGTTGATAACATTAGTACCAGGAGGACAAGTAAATATAAAACTGCAAGCCATTCATATTCGTAACGATGACAGGGAAGTGCTCCTGTTTGGAACAAAGAGTGTACGTAGTGCATCGTGGCATAAGGCAAACGAAAGAGTGAAATAAAGAGGAATTAAAGAGAGTAGAAAAAGAAGAAAAGTAAGTGGACAGACACGGCATCGGCTTGCATACGTCAATGTACACGGCACACATTCTTTATTTATAATTTTGCGTTAATCTACGCGACGACCAGGTAAAAGCGAGTCATGCCGCAAAGTGAGGCAAAAAGGTTCCACTTGGCTGAGCGTGAAACGGGACACAGATTAAATCCCATCCTGGCGCACGACGTCGCGGTGCTCGTCGTCGCCTATTCCTTTCCCCTCATCATCTAGTTTGCTCTTGTTCCCTCGCGCTCGTTCGCCCACTCGCCAGCCAGTCACCGTTCTTTTCATACACACGCCACAACCCCTACAGCACCACCTTACCCACCTCTCCTTTCCTCTACAAACCCTCCCCTCAACCCACCCGTCATGCGAACAACCTAGAGACAAGGAAAGATAAAAAAAGAAGGCGCTCGAGGCAGAGAATATTTTACAGCTCCCTTAAAATAGTCAAGAATTTTTTTTATCATTTTCTCTTTTTTCCTCTTTTTTATTTCATTTTTTTATTGCTGCTTTGAATCAGAAAGTAGTAATTGATGGTGTTGGAGAATATAAAAGCGACCTGTGCCTATATTTAAGTGGTTCGAAAAATTTTCTCTTTTTTCCCCTGCTGCTTCTGTTGTAGTTTTCTTAATTAATAACTTTCTGACATGAAAATCAGTTTTTTTTTTTGCTGGAGAGTTTTTGTGTTATGTTTTCAGTGTTATGTGCATTCGTGTGGATGTGTTTGATATGAAGCAAAAAGGGAATACTTATGAAACCACTTGCGTGTCTGTCCTTCCGAAACGGGTAAAGTTAAATATCTTGAAAACTAATTGAGTGATTACACTAAGTTTTGGAACGAAACAGTTTGTAATTATTCTTGAATGGATCGAAAAATTCCTCATTGTATTTTTTTTTTTTTTCAACATTATTTTTTTCACGTCAGTCACATTCACTTTTTTTCTTGCATTTTTAACTTTATGAATAATTTACATTTTTATTAAAATAAAAAAAAAAAAAACGATTTAAAATATTGTGGTTAAAGAGAAATAGATTTTTAAAGTTAAAAATACTTTTCAACCAATTATAACAATTGTTTCATACAAAAAATCTCTTTTTTGCTCTCTATCTCCCTAGTCTTATGGTCTATAGAAATACTGCTAATTCGAAAACGTGTCCATTGTGTCCTTTTCTGTGATCAAATCGTTTAATGAAGATACGAGACATTCAGTGTGGGATTATAAAGACTTACGTTTGAATAATTTCTTTGTCACCACTTTTTATTTAAACATCTATAATCGATAAGAACGCTTTTTCTATTTTTAATAAATGAAATAAATAAAACAATAAAAATGCATCTGATCACCAAAGTAAAAATAACAAAAAAAAAAATCGAATGTTGAAATATATAAAATATTTACTTGAATAATCATAAGTTGAAATTTTTTATTTAATAATTTCAGAAATTATCTTTTTAATGTGTGCATCAAAGGATTACTTTTAGAAAAAAATTCCCAATAATTCTGATGATATATATTTTTCTAATAACTGTAGAGATTTTAATATAATATTATATTATGTTTAGTAATGAATCACAGAAAAATTATTATTGTTATCAGATAAAAGCATCACTGTGACTAAAAACCTTAGGAATCACTAAATATTTAAATTTTAATTCTTATTTTAATTTTAAATAACAAATGAACTTCTCTTATAAAATCTCTTATATAGACTAAAATAAAATTTCAGTAATAGTACCTAATAATAATAGAAATAAAAAAATTCTGTCCATAAAAATTGCTTTATAATAATAAAATGTTTATATTAAAAGTATGTTAACAAATATACTCATGATAAATAAAAAAATTCAATTATTTTGCCAATTAGATTTTAATTGAAAATATTTTTCATTTATTATAAAAATAAATTGTAATTTAGAAGCTTGAAAGGATTGATATAAAGATGAAATAAAAAAATGGATAACATTCTTTCTTTGAAAGAATTTTGAAATTAGAATGGCAATAACTTGAAGTTTTGAATATTGGAGCACCAAAATAGGTGTTGGACTCAGAGAAAGGTATTTTAGTAAAAGATGTTTTATCTGTTACCATATAAGTAGTGTTAAAAATTGGTCTATCAGGTACCATTGAAGTTAATGATAGTGATTATGATGATAACATTGTTAGTAGAAGTATACTATTGGTAATGATTGATTTAAAATTAAAAGTGAAGCAGTAAATTATAGCTCTAGTGATTGGATCATCAAGCTGTTATGATGGAAGAGTGCTGTTGTGAAAATAATTCTGAATAAAAATTATAATAATTGATAAATTATAAAATTATTTATTTAATAATAAGATAAGCTGACCATATTGATATTAATTTTGAAATATGAACACATACTGAGAAGAAAAAAAATATTCATAATATATTTTACCAAATAATTGCAACTATTGTGTTGATTTAAAAATATTTTATAAATTTTAATTTTTATTTAATGACTAAACAAAGGATTCATTTGCAAGATTTATTTATAATATTGTTAATTAACAAAATATTTAATTTATATTAGTTTTTTTCAGGGTATACACTAAGAAAAGAATTTCGTGGAATGAAAGAATTTTTTATTTAATCAATAAAAGGAACTTGGAGTATTCTCCAGATTATATTTTATTTGATCCAATAATATTGCTATCAAAAACACATTTTGTCATTTATTTCAATGTTATGACAAGTTTGAAAGCAAATAACATTTCATTCATTTAAATGATTTTATTAAAATATTCATAATTTTGAGGAAATATTTCATTGCGACTATTTGAAATTTTGATGTTAATTATCGAATAAAATACTTTCTGTATGAAGTAAATGTTTTTCTCAGTGTACCATTAATAACTGTCAGATAGTTCAGAACTAAGTGGCCCAATTGTGATTAAATATCAAAAATGATAGTGATGTAAGTGATTTTGCATTGTCTAAAATGTTTATAAAATTATTTACAGCTCCTGATGATGATGATTATTCAACAGCAATTAAATTAAATAAAGAATTCATCAAAAGAAAGTTGGATTGATATGACTTGAAAACTATTTTCACATTAATTAATAATAGTATCCAATTTGTAAACAATGTTTAATAAAAAATTACCATCATCAAAGCAAGCATAGAAATGAGTTCTTCAGAAATGATCAAATCTATAGGAAAAAATCGATTTTTAATCATCAACTCTAGTAATGATTGATCAAGTATTGAATGTGGTTGTGATGTAGCCACG